TTACTAATGATTATACTGCTTTTTTATCAATTAAAATTAAACAACATGCTGAAGGTAAAATAATTTATTAAAAATGTCTGTATTATGCGATGACATATAAATTCTGAAGTGATTTTATTATTTATTGTTTTTATATTAAAAAAAACAAACTCTTTAAACTTCGATAGGTTTGTTTTACTTGTTTAATACCAAGTAAATATTTTACTAGAGATGAAAAACTGTAACAACATGATTATGCAGTGCTTTATTAATTTTCTCGATTACTTTTTTTTTTAATCAAAAGAACCTCTCGAAATAGAAAGAAACATATGTCAACTTGTCAGTGTTTTTCTATTTGATTATCATGATAACTGATTACTAATTGCAATGACGCCGGTATTTTATTTATCAGTCATTGATAGAAAAAAAGCACTAGATTTTTTCATTCTTCTTTATTCTTTTTCCTCAATGGTTCAATATTATTTTATTTCTATCCTCATCATTTTTTGTTTTCTTATCCCATAGACACTACCGATATGCCGAACATCGGCTAGGTTTACACAAGTTAAATTGATTTCTGTATATTTTTAATCTTGAAAGATCTATTCATATCTTCTGACCTGTTCTGCTTTCCTAGGATACCTTTTTAATTATTATTACGTAACAAAGAGGAATCTAATAGAAGACTCTTCTAGAACATTTATTCGCTTGAGCATAACAGATTATTTAGAATTGCTTATTACAGACCGATGGTTATTCTATATCTATAAGTATTTTTACTTAATGTGTCTTAAGAAAAGAAAAATGTTAATATTGTATTTTGATTAAATTGGTCATGACAGAAATACTTTTTTCCGTCAGAATAGAACTAGCTTGTTTACATTCTGTTTTTCTTAGACAAAGAGAGGCCAGAAAATATGTTAATTATTAAATTTCTATTTATGACATTTTTTTTCATTCACTTATCTTACATTTCATATCAAAAAAACTGTTCTAAACTGCATGAACTTATTTTAGAACCGCACGGCGTCCAGCTTTGATACAATTACTGTTTTAAAATATCTACACTATAGCTTTCGTTGTGATGGAACGATTTTAATGTGAATTTTTAAATTCTATTCGTCTCATACACATATTCTAAGTTTCATCATTCATAAGTTATTGAGTTTAAAGTTAGAAAATGTCGCATTTTGAAGCGAGACATATGTAGAAGATACGCTTGTTTGAGAAAGAATAGGAAATGTAAATAAATCATTTTGTTGCTCGGACATTATTCTAGCGAAACATGAGATTCACTGATCTTTACATATTCCCATCCGTATACATTTGCTATTGATATTCCATAACAAACTGTTTATCTTTTTTTTTTTCTTGATATACAGTGACATAAAACCATAGCTTTTGCAAGCTAGGACATGATTGCATAGGAAACCAATGTACCAAATAATTAAGAAACGTTTTTTTATATAAAAATGTTTACCTTTTCTTATTTTTATATTAAAGAAAAATGAATCGGAGTACATCAAAACAGAATGTATTCATTTACTTTGCACACTGACATTTAGAAATTTGATTAGCCTATAATTCTCGATGTATTATTTCAACTTCATTGTTTTTTTTCAATGAATAAACTCATCTATGTATCTGTAAAAATGTTAGTGTGCGAATCCTAAAAAAAATTTATATTCCTTTTCCGATATAAATTTTGTTTATAAAAGTTTCAATGATTGATAGTATACAATCGAAAATGTTGACGAAAATTATTGTTTCATATTATTCTGTCGTCATAATTGAACATTGTAATCAGTTAATATTACATTTCATAATGATGCATTTAACTGATAAGTTTGATAGAATTTCTTAATATAAAATTGATTTTGTCTACAATTAAATTAGATGAATGGCATGTTTGTTTAAAACGATATCGATTAATGGAATCACCACATGGTGAAATTGGTAGTAATATTCATATTATACTTGATCAAAACCAGGTATTTAAAAGAAGAATTCGATAGATAAATCTATCATCAATATATATATATATATTTTAGTTAATCTTTATGCCACGTTCTATTTATCAAATACGTTTTGTACTTCAACAACCATCATCAATATGGAAAGATTTTTCTATTGATAATGTTAAAATTCATAATCAAACAATTTCTATAAAAGATGTAAGAAAAAAAAAAAAGATAAATAATATTTTATATGAGCTAATTTTAGACATATTTATCACATACAGAATAGATAATCTTTACATATTAATTTATCTTTTCTAGCGAAAGCCATCAATTGAACGTTTACTTGCTAGTACCTTGATTAATGATGATCAAATGACAGAAATGACATTTTCTGTAAGTATTTCTAGTGTGATTATGATGTGAACGAGAACTTTCTTTGTTTTTCTTTCATAGAAAATACCGCCAATTAACGAACTTTCTCAACATCTACAAGCAATGTGGACAATATGTGCTAAAATGCAGCAATCAGATTATGGATCTGAACATATTAAACGATTTGATGTAAATTTATAATTGAAAGAAGAAAAATTATTTTAATTGAAATATTTGTTTTTTGTTTCTTTTTATAGATTGATGGTTCATATGATTTACAAATACTTTCTTATACTTAAATTAGCTTTAATAAAATATACATGACTATCAATTATTACTTCTCTATTTTTTTCTCTATTGAGATCAAGGTTTGATCAATATGTATGTTTCCTCGTTTGATTCTTTCATGCTGTGAGCATACATGCACGCATATATATATCTTCGAAGAATATCGATTTCTTTCGATAGGATTACATAAACTTCTTTTTCGCTTGTTAGTCGTTTTATCTAGTTCAGGTGTTTATATTGACCGTCATCATGACATAGATATATAATGTGAAGAAAAGAGCAATAGATCAGTCTGATATTTATGACGATACAATAAAGAAAAGAACACAGAAATTAATCGATTTGATGATTCGAGACAATGTACTTGATTATCAATATGAATTAAAGCGATTATCAAATGATTTAAATACATTGAAAGATTTCAATGCTACTGTTAACGATACTAATGTAAGAATATATTTTGTTCTTATTTGCATAACATTTTTTTTTACAAATCTCGTATATATATATATAAGTAATGACAGATCCTATCTCTTATTCCCTTTGTTGTTTTGGTCTAAATGCATTTCTTTTTTTTCGTTAGAAAATGATATCTCGTTTATCTTGTCTTTGTTGTTTGTTATCGTTAAGACGAATAGTCTCATTGCACTGGTCTTTTCGACCAACCTTGGAGTTAATCCATACCATACACAAATATGCAGAAAAACAGTGTGGGTGGGTTCTAGTTGTAAGAAGAGAGTAGAACGACAGAACAGATCTTTCTACTTTTCTGTGCATAAAAACTGTCGTTATCGCTTAAGACGATCCTATCGATACAATTGCTGTACTCGACAATCTTTTTTCTCGGCTGTTCCATATAAACACTCAGAAGGAAAAAAAAGAGCAACGTTTTCCACATCGTTGTTAAGACTAACAGGCATACAAACTGTTGTTGTTCTTTTGTATGTGTGTCATCAACTCGTATCAACCTGGGCGATACACTTCGGTTATCATTGTATATATATAACTGTAATATTTTTGGTTTTGTTGAGAAAAAAAGACCGAAGAAGGATAACAAAACAAGGTCTTCTTAATTATTGATTGACGAAGGCTCGAGAAATATAGTACACGGTAAGTTTATAGTCCACTAGAGGATCAGCTTTTAACCTTGTTGGGAATTGCCAGAAAATAATAAAGAAAAACAAACAGATAAAGATATAGATGGTTTTACTGCATATATAAAAGACCAGGATCAAGAATATATAAAATCTAATCCATCATATATTATCATTAACAAAAATGCATATCCAATATTTAGCTTGTGTTTTTATGATTGACATAGAACACAGTCGCTTGTTTTTACTTTATTTTTGATCAAAAAAAAACATTTGGGCCAATTCGATTCGTCTATTAGTTCTTATGCCAATCTGAGATTAATGAAGAGCAAGAAGACTATGGAACGATGACGACAACTGGAAAATACAAACAATTATATATATTTTTTTTCTCTCTGTCACATTACAAATGCTTGATAGAATCCTTTACAGTTTTTTCTTTCTTTTTTGCTTATATATATATATATGTTTTTTTTTATGCAGAAGACGAACAAGAAGAAAATCCTATGTGTATTATTAGTAGACATCTGGATGTTTGCAGAACAAAAAGACGCATTATCGTTGTCGTGTAATCTAACCGGAGACTGGTCTATGATAGTCCTAAATGGATGCTTCTTTCCCTCGTTTGTCTTCATTCAATCATTAGAGCAATTATTAACATGGAAAACGAAGAGAGGATGAAAAAATAAAGCAGAAAACAAAGCCAGATTAGGACAGAAAGAAAGAAGTAAAGAAACACGAGTGTGATCTCTATTGTTACGATACATTTTCTAGTTTTTCTCCTATTGCATACCATTGATATAAAAAATAATAATCAACAATATTTTTCTATAGATAAATATAAATATCATTCAGACTCGCTTGCATGCACACGCATGAATAACAGGAGAAGCAAAAAAGAAAAATTAGTTTTTGTATTTCCCATTAGTCGATACATATATATAGATCACACTATGGATAAGAGAAGTTTTCTCTCTTTCCTTACACTACATTAAATATATCTCAAGAAGACACAGCGAAATATTGTCATTGAAGGGTGTTTTTCCTTCTTTCTGACCGACTACTTACTATTGACGGTCAAATGTTTTCTCATTAAGATATTCTCTGATTTTCTTTTCTTGTCTCGTCTCGTCTCGTCTCGTCTCTTCTCTCGTTTTCTGCTACATACATCATGTTGTTTGCGGCGTTTGAGAGAAGAACGTTTCGATCGTCACAACAGCATACGTTGGTGACATTCGTTTGAAGACGAGCAATGAACGTATGAAGAGCTTTACTGTTTCTTCGAATTAGAGCATAGCATAGAAAAATGTTAGGTGATCGAAAAACTGCTGTTTTACGAGGTGGTGCTCCCTGGGGTTTTCGACTTTCAGGCGGCATTCACACACCTGTCTATATTTCTAAGGTAGTCTTTCTTTTGTCACAAAAGGAAAACATCAAATAAAGTCTTGTATCATTTTTTTTTTGTTTCTATTTCCATGTATATAGGTTCGTAGTCGAAGTAAGGCAGCGCTTGCCGGTCTTACAACAGGCGATACACTTTTATCAATTAACGGTGTATCATCATCACAAAAGACTTTACGTGAAGTAAATGATGTAATTGACACTGTTCCCGATCAACTTATTCTCGAAGTACAAAGGTAATTATTTGAAAAATTATTTTTGAAATCAATGTTATTTTCTTGTATTTATAGTACAACAATACATCCTCGTCGTAGTCGACTTGATTCAAGTTCAAGTTTAGATACAAAAGAGAATAGTCCTGTTCGTTCAATACATCGTATAACTCCACAACGACAATCAATGGATTATCAATATAATTCATTAAATACTGCACCTACATATCCATCATATACTTCAACATCGGGTTTTAATCAATATGATAATAGTCGAGATCAAGGTTTTATGGATTCATTTGGACGTAAAACTAGTAATCCATTACCAGCGATTTTTCGTACAGCTACAGTAACATCAAATTCATCATCACCTTCAACAAAAGGTCAACAATTTAATTATCGTTCAGCAACTTCAAATAATACATATGATACACCACGTAGTTATAATGAACCTAAGACAAGTGGTTATATTTCGGATACAAATGATTATCGACGTTCAACGGCTTCTTTTCGTTCAAATAATATTAAAAATTTAAATGCTTCACACATTGATAATACAAATAATCAACAACAATCATATTATAAACCATCACCAACAACTTACAATACAAAAATAATACAAAGTAATGATCAAAATTATTATAGTGATTCCGAGTGTGTTACATCAGGTCCACGTTATACAAAAATTAGTCGACAAATAAATTCTACACGACGACCAAGTAATATTGTTTTACCAATACGTTCAATATCAAGTAAAGCTTATGATGACTATGTATCACAAGAAATACCGAAAGTTCAACAACAACCATTTGATATGTATCGTTATCAACAAGAACAACGTGAGCGTCAAAGACAAGAGCAATTACAAAGAGAATTATATCAACAACAGCAAGCAGCTGCTGCTCGATTCAAAAGGCCACCACAACTTACGTTTCCATCTCAAGATCAACGACGCAAATCTGATAGTAAGTATAGATATATATTTGTTTCCTATTATTCTTTATTTTATGATCTTATCATTAATCTTTAGGTGCCATTAGTCATGAGATGGGTGCTGAATTGCTCAAATCACCTATTCCAAATAGTATGTTTATTGAAAAGATATAAATATTTTTTAATATAAATATTATTTTTATTTAAGAAAAGCGTTATGCTGATTCAAGTTTCTTTAAGACACCATATAATACTTATCCAACTATTGAAGAACAAAAACAATTGGCACGAAAAATTGCCCATATATTAGAAGGAGGGGATCCAGCTCAAAAAGGTACTTCTAAATTTGAAAAACAACGTCAACGAGCAGAAAAATATGCACATGAAACTGAATCGACATCAACAGCAACAACTGTAAGTAATTATCGACCATTGCGTCAACTGCAAACAAATGACAAATTATATTTTGATACATCAAATTTACCGGATTGTATTAAACATAGTTTAGAGGAAGCTCAACATATTAATCCATTAAGATATGTTGGTACACCAGAAGAATTTAAACAAATTCATATGCAGGTATGAGATTTATATATAAAATCTTCAAAAACTGATCATACAGATTTAATTTTTGATTTTTTTCGTAATGGTAACTTGCATAAAGAATCCAAATAGTGATATGGATAAACACATTCGTTTTCAACAAAGATTTCGGCAGAGTAAAATTCTCATAGTATTCCTAAAATTCAGGATTTCATTCAATGTCTAGTTTTTCTGTACTACAAGCCCCAAAATAAAAGTTTATTTCAATTACATAGCGTGATAGAGCAATCAATTCTCTAGAGAATGAAATGTTTTGAAGCATTTTTTGCGACACTTTTTTTAACTCAATTAGATCAATTTCAATAAAACCACAAAAATAGTTTTCTTTTGCCATTTGTTATAGAACAAATGGAGCTTTTGTGCTCTTCTTGCAATTGATGTAATAGTTCAGTTATACAATATCATGAAGAGCTCGGAGACATTTCATTCTCTAGAGAATTAGTTTGTCTATCATTTAATGTAATCAAAATAAACTTTTATTCTGAGAATATTCTAAGGATTTTATTTCCCTTAATTCTTTGTTGGAAATATAGGCCCAAGACGCATATAAAAGATATTTTGATCTCTTTTGATTTTCAAGATTACATCTAATTGAGTTATATATAGTTAAATATTGTTGCCGCTTAGTTAAGAATGATTCAAAGATATTCTAATTATCCTTTGTTCAAGCTACGTTTTCATAATAGAACCATTCAATATAAAAAATAATGTTTTGATATTACTAGATTGTATGCAAATCTTCTATTGTTTAAACTTTGATTCTAAAATACAGAACTTTTTACGGTGTAAAAAGTTATTGCGAAAGTGGAAATTTATTTTTCCAAGGATACCTAAGAAAAGACTGGCGAATTAGAAATCAAAATCACTTAGAAAGTTTGAAATATACACAAGTCAACTCACTTTTTTGTAATAATCCTAAATCTGATATTTATTTGAAGTGAAATAGGTATTATTCTGCTTGAAAACTGTCAAATATCAGTCGACAAATTTCAAAATTTAGCCTCAATAATAGTGGACTCAAAATTGTGTTATGAAGCGTACTTTTTAGACCGTAAAAACTAGTGTATTTTATAGTACTTGTAAAACTTTATTGATAATAAAGTGTGAACAAAAGTTTCAATAACACAATAATTAAACAACAAATAGAATACACATGGATATTATAAACTCAAAACTTAAGCAATGAAATATTTTTATATAGTCTAGTAAATTTCAAACATAATTTTAAATAATTTGTTCTTTTATGAAAATGTGACTTGAACAAAGAATTATCAGATTACTGCTTATCTACTATGTTGTCCAGATAGACGCTGTTGAAAACTATGATATAATCAAAATGATTAGTAATTAATGATCTTTCATTCTATATATATAGTTGAATTAAATTGAACTTTGACAATCAAAAGGAGCTAAAATATGTTCTTATACACTTCCGTTGTTTCCTCTACTTAAAATCATTATTTGAATTTTTTTATGTTAGCTACATTACAGAAACAAATCGAAACTAAATCTGTATGATCAATAATTTGGAATCACCGTAGATCAAGAAATTTGAATAGAAGAAAAATTGTTTTATTTAGGAACATGTTACACATACAACTGTGTCACCACAAGCAGCAATGAGTCTCGCTGCTGCTTTGTATCAAAATCGTGGTAAAGGTGCTGCCTTATTTCAAAAACGTAAAGCTCGTTCTGAAAAATGGGTTATTGATGAAAATAATGTTAAGAAACCAGGCTATCAACTACCATCAAATTATATTGGAGTGTGTATTTTCATTATTTTCTATTTAAATGAAATGTTGTTGTTATGTATGTCTTTTTTAATATCTATAGCCAGCAACAAAACCATGGGGTCAACATGCACCATCAACATGGTCTGCTGATGAAAAACCATATTCAGGTCCTAGTTTTTCACCAATTCGACCGAAATTTAGTGTTCCATCAACGCCAACTATACCTGAGTCAATTTTTACACCTCCACCACCAAAAAGTGTTCCGAGATTTGGAGATTTTAATGCTAAACCGAAAGGTTTCAATACTCGGAATACAGAAAGTAAATATTTTCTTTTAAATAACCTTGAATATTTTATCTTTAAAATATATTAGATATAACATCACAATCACCACGTACAAGTATTGATGTACGCAAACCACTTAATTTAAATACGGAACCAAGTATTCGTGAAGGTAGAAAAGAAAAACAAACAATTAATTTATTAAAATAAAATATATATTTTTGAAAGTTTCTCAAGGTATTGCAGAATCGCATACAAGTACCGTACCTCAACCATGGTCACCACCATTGAATTCTCAATCTATGTTTTCTCCAAATCAACAACAGGATAATGATTATTTTAAATATCCATCAACGAATGTTCTTGGTAAATGGAAAAATCAAGAATATTCACCATGGAATCAACTATATATAGAAGAACACAAACCATCACAAATACCAATGACACGTGAAGGTGTTGATTATATACGTCAACGTCTTATGCAACAGAATCAATCAGTAACAACTCCACAATATAAAACATATAATCAATATGTTGGCAATAGTGCTAATCATAATCTATATACATCATCTCAAGGATCAAAACAACAGCAACATTTTACGGATCTTTAAATGTTTATTATTTATTTTTGTCAATAACTCGACCTTAATTCTGCCCAATTGACCAATCTCGGTGAAACAAATCAATCGTTTGTTCGCTCAACACTATTGCCACCATTGCTATATAACCATCTGCACTATTCAATTTTCTTCTCCTAACCTCAATGTTAGTAGTCTAGTCTCAAACGAAAAAAAAAACAAATCTATAAGAAAACAAAAAAAAATGTTTTCCCATTATTAAACACTTTTTTTTCCTTACTTCTTCTGTATCTTTTTTCTAGCTTTTTGTTCATTTCTTTTTTTTATTCAATTGATGATATATAAAATCAATTTCTTATTCTTGTTGATTTTATTTGTATGAATATTTTTGTATGTGTTCGTTTCTTCGTCTTTTCTTTTTCTTATTATCACACACAAATTATTCATACATTATTGATTGTCAACAATTGTCTAAAATAAAATCATTGATTTAAACAGAAGAAGATAAAACGAACGCCGTGAAAGATTTTTAATATTCAATTTTGATCATTTCAAATTAGTCTAGTTTACATACACATATGTCTGTTATCATATGTCTTCGATTTATAGATATTGATCAGCAATTCTCTATTGTTCTTAAAATCGATTAGTTTTGCGTAAAATAAAATTTTTACACTCGTTTTAAAGCAATAAAAGAAAAGAGAAAGAAAAAGATTAATATTTGTCTATATATCGTCCTTTGTCTACAGCCGTATTAAGACCTTGATAACGATAAATACCACATTTACCCAGATGCTAAAATATAAATGTTAAGATCAATAAAAATGAAAATTTAATAATCATTATCGATACCCCTGTAAAGGCACTTGATTGTGTTCGATAAACAGTTGGCATCGTATGAATATTAGGTTTTTCAGCACCATAATCTTGTGCTGTTGTACGATAGAGTGGATTTGGTTCTTTCTTGCTATAGCCTTGCCACCAATCTATATGAAAAAAAAAATCTTCAGGTAATAAGAAAAATCATTAGATTTTTAAATATAGATATATCTACCTGGATTATCAAATTTTGCTGGAATATCAAATGTTCTATATTGATCACTGGTTTTCTCACCAGTCATTGCAGCATTTCTTTGTGCAACTGTATCTCTTGATTGTAAATAAGTTGCTGCTACTTCAACAGGTATAGAATCTGATTGATAAAGAACTTCACCATTTTGACCAACTTCAGTATATTTTGCCATAGGAGTACATTGTTCTTGTGTATTATTATTATTTTCAAGAGAAGAAGACGAATCAATATTTGCAGTGCTCATGTTTGATCAATATATAAATATGTATGATAATTATATCGATGGAAAGTTGGCAAGAATATGAATTCTTATGTTGTAATGTTTTGATTTTAACAACCGGTTTTTTTTTTGTTACCATCAGAAGTAACGTCGTCATGCAGTAAACCTCTTTCATTGTGAAAAAAGTCGAGTATAATAAACAATTTCTCTGATGANTCACTTATGTACAATCTACATATACGGTGTAGTCAGTAGCGTCAACAGGTAAAGCGTACAAGATAATGACGTCATTTAAATAGACATGTTCTATTTTATCATACTTTATTGCATACTCAATTGATCAGCTATATCACGATTTCAATACAGGACCATCGTTTTTTTTTTTGACGTTTTAGTTTCTGTCACTTAGATTTAATTGAAATTTTTTCGATGAACCATAACGGTATGTATTTGTTTAACATTTCTTTCCTGGTAAATGACTGTTATGAAGAGAACTCTTACGAAAACTCTCTGTTGTGAAGAACATAGGAAACACTTGACTCAAACTTTTCATGGATATATCAGTTTTGACGAACACTTTCAGCAAAGGAGAACGTTTCACTCGCATTTTCCCGCTAATTACTCTGCTTAAAGAAAAACTTTTCTGAATTTTCTGAGAATAAGCCGACATATATCTATGAAAAATACTTTTTCAATCAGAAGATTTGACCAAAACTGGTCTCAATGAAAAATTGAAGTGTTAGTTATCATTGTTCATGAAATGCACATATTTTTAAACCCATACCATCTGAACAATTTTTCGCGTCAGAATGGTCCGATAGTATATTTTATTCCATCATGAACGAGTAATGTTTATATATATATATATAGTTTTTTACACTTAACAGATGACTAAATCAACAAGACAGAAGTAACATGAAAGCATTTCGAATATGAAGCAAGTTTATCAGAAAATTATTGATTTAAATTTCAATAAAATAATAAACTTTTAACGAAAACCGTTGAAAATCTTCGACACACTTTCGCTTCAAGTTTAGTTTTGAGAAAGAATACATCTGCAGTGCACTGAAAGTATAGACGGCTTTATTTCATATTTTTAACAATCTGTTTCGAGTTGCGCACACTTTATTTATTATCAAGCGCCTTCTTCAGCATGGCGCTGTCCAAATTTTTTTCATCTCACTGATGAAAGTCTCGTTAACAAACAGTGACTGTTAGCTGAACTCGATATGAAGGACAATCACAACGTTCTCACATACCGAGAATTATCAGAATTTGAACTTAACATCGAGTTATAGTATTCCAGTAGATCTTTGATTTGGGTATGGATGGATGTGAATATGGTCGAGAGAAGACCGACCAACTCTCTCACTCTTACCCACACCCACATGGAGTTTTACATCTGTAATTGGTTGAATCAAGCAATGATTAACTTGCTAAGGATGCATCAAATTTAGTGATATCATACTATTAACCAAGATTAGTTAGACTTTTACATGAATATGAAAATCCTTGATCATTCAAAGGTATGTTCAGGTTTCCAAAAACACAAATTTCCCCATCAATTGCAATTTCCATCGTAGTATCCTAATCCATCAAAAATGACAACTAACAACTTATGGGAAATTACTAGAAGATTTCGGTAATTTTAGTACTTTTCTTAGATTAATGAATAGATGAAAATTTCCGAAATTTCTCAGTAATTTTCAAAACTTTGAATTATTAATGGGGTAGGGTGTGCTTTTTATCATATAAATAGATATATTCATATAGTACGGTGAAGGAAATTTTCCTAATTATCGAAATTTCGTGGCAAGTCAAGTCTTTTGGATAGTATTGTTAATACGTGTTTTTTTGACAGCTGTCAAGAACAGAATAACTAAATGAAAGCCTGAAGAGAAATACAGAGCAGTATTATCTCATAATATAATCGAGAAATTAAAAGAAGTCAGAAAAATAAAAAATAAATATTATCGTCTGCATCAAGGAAACATCTTGTGTGAAGAAACAAGAGTACGTGTATCCGTCGAAAAACTAGTACTTAATAGAGTCAGATATAGGCAGAGACGTTCTTTTCTTCCTTCTTCCTGAGTCACAATAACAAATATTACCCCAGAAATTCCGACCTGATCTTCGACTGGTGCATCGATGCCTCTTTATATCGGGTTATAGTCTATATATTATGACTAATAAACTCTCGTTAAAGGCTTATGTTAGACACTACATTCAAAGAAGATTAAAATGTATGCACACAGTGGATCTTGGTCATTGAATCTTCTATAACTCAGCTCGAGAAGTACGGGTCGGTTCCAGCATGAATCTGCCGGAAATCATCAGAAAAAAATCCGGAAAGTTTCCGACCGGAATACTGCTTCCATGTTCCGGCGTTGTTCTGCAGGATATAGCGATTTTTCCGCATCTTTTCTGCCGGTTCCTGCAGTATTTGGTGGTCGGAACGGTCAATATGGGGATGATGCTTTCTTTGGAATGATTTTTATAAAAGAAAGAACGATCATCTTGGCCATTTTTTTCACAGTAATTTTGTAAGACTATTGTTATAAAAGCATGAATGGCTTCTCTTAAAATTGACATTATTTATTGAAATAAAGTAACTCCATGCAAAGAAAAGAGCACCCAAACCCATTTTCCCTTCATTCTTCCTTTTCTTCTATTTCTGTTCTTGAAACGCTTAGAAGCATCCTCACTCGCTTTTTTTTCTCTTCTCGAATTTCTGAATTTTTATGATTTTTTTTTGCTTTTTTCTTTCACAATGCGTTTTAATCAAGCAAGGTAAAGCAATCACTTACAACTTTGGGTGCCTTACATTTTTGCATTGTGACGCTACCAAAGATAATGTCAATAAAAAACATGGTAGCATGAGCGAATCATGAGAGGTAATAGGAATGAGAAAAAATTTCAAAGCTACTATGTAATTTAAAAGTGGAAAATACCCAACCCTACTATATCTATATAACGATTAATTTTATTTCAAATACAATGCTGAAGATACCATTACAATAATTCATAAGAGTATATCATAATTAGGAATGTCACGAATATTGAGTAATATTGGATGGGTTACTAGAAACGATGGTGAACGTTGTAACAACAAACTGGATGAGTAGCTAGTCGCCACTCTCGGCAATGATGTTTATTTAGCTACTATACATTCCCGAGTGTATCTACTTCACATATAACACACGCTTATATAGGAGAGGGGAACAGAGAGAGAGAGAGATGAGCACTGGAAAGAACAATAGAGCGAGGAAAGAGGAAAAGAAGATCAATGGAGTGTGACATCGATATTGGCACAAACGTGATCAATGTTTCACAATGCCACACGTCCTCAATATAGATGGTTCAAGAGACAAATGATTTGGTTTGTTCGAACAACTAAGATTCGGATCCTCAGATATACTGACTCAAGGTCGTTCGCAGTATTACAATGAAACCAATGCACATAGTGGTCCAGGTAAATAACAATTCGCTTCATTACTAATCTTACTTATTAGATTTTAGGCGTATATCAATTGATGACAACATGTGCCGTGGGAAGACCAACAATTCAATAATATTTTATTCAAATATAACTTGTTGTTATCTAGTACAACCGTATTAAAAGTTCAAATTTGCATCGTATATTAACGGACTATGCTAACTCTGGCATGACTCTTGATGCCATTGAACGACTAGACAAACATGATCAAGGTGGCCTAGACGATATCGCAACACAAATAAATCAAGCAGCCTATAGAGGCATGGATATTCGAGCTTGCTACGCTCTAGCTGATAGTCCGTTTAAAGTGAGAGCACAGCAATTATTTCTGCTAGATCAACGAAACTTTGTTTGGAATTCAAGAAACAGTGACAGTATTGATCCTTATTGGTGGCGGTAGAATATAGACGAAAAGATCTTTTTTTGTTTGTTTGTGAATATTTACTGATATTTTCAAAGCAAGAAAACTGCTTTTAAATAAAGTAATATTTAAATAGAATTTTTTTATCGTAAATAAGACTCAGATCCATATCCTACTCTTATCCATAACTCACATTTCTTCTTGTTTCATTGTTAAAACAGTTAATAGAGCAATGCAGAGTGAGCAAAAATTGTTTTTCAGGGAGTCATGTTGTGATTTTAAATAACATCGTCAACAAATTTTATACGAAATCAAGGCGCATCGAAAATTGGATTTATCAATACTAAATAGTGACTGTTATGGCAACTTCTTAGTATTGAATTCAGAAGATTTCTAAACTTTTACATCATATCAACAGAGAAAAATTCCTTTCATGAAGCAATTCAAACTAGACCTCACATAAAATAGTGGACATCACAAGTTAATATTTATTTCTTAAAACTTGATGAAAAACAGTCAATAACTAGTACGACGACCAAAAGTGTTTTTACAGCAGGAAGATGGGACGCACACAAACATAAAATTATTTGAAATAGGTCAGTGTTTATTTTCATGTGGACCAAAATTTATGAAATGTGATCTTTTATAGTTTATTCATGATAAAGCTTGTGTTCCGTCTCTGATAGAAGTCTCCTTCAGCTTCATATTTGACTATTTTTCCAATATTTCTAGGTCAAGTATCTGGTACTTTGTGATATTCATCATTTTAAATGAGATACAGTTTGAACTCCCTTATGAAAAGAATTTTTCTCTGCTGATATGATGTAAAGTTTTAGGAACTTCCTGAATTTGACACTCAAAAGTTGCAATAACTATCACTATTTACTATCGATAAATCCCATTTTTGGTGCACTTTAATTTGGTATAAAATCTGTTGTCGACGTTATTTGAAATAACAGGTTGCTCGCCGCCCATTCCTCCTCCCCTGGAAAAAGAGTTCTGCTGATCGTGTACAACGTCTTGTATGCGAAATATTATATATTCGATTAGGTAAAGATGTCATAATTTTGATAAAGTGTTTGCTTTTTAGATCATCAAGACAAAGAGAAATTTTAAGATGTGCTTAATTATCTAGGCATTTTACCTGGTCAATCTATGAAAGGTCTTATAGTAATTATTCTTCTCTTTTAACATGCTTCTTATTTCATTTTAGTCCATTTAGTGACTAAGAGAACAACCTTCTTAGTGATGAGTATGGAAAAAACAAAATATTTCTTCCAAACAACATTAATGTTAAGTTGTTTCTTATCCTATGCTAGTTTAGGATAAATTACAATTCTTTTGATTTTGTTCATTACCCGATTTTTACCAACAGTGTCGACAGTGAGAAATGCATCTAATATTGATAGACTGAACGAAACAAGTTTTTTCTAAGAGACAGTATATCATTTGTTTCAGCTCTCTATGTAAGCAAAAAATTGCACCAATATGATGAAGGTTGATGGCACGCTGCCTATAAACAGATCGACACAGGAAAAAAAATTTCAAAAAAAATCATTTTAACGTAGTACACTATTCGAAAGCAAGCAACATTAATGTCTAACAAAGTTCCTTCGGGCTCTTCTCGTATTATCCGTTGAGCTCATTTATCACATTCTGAACCATCGTGACGAACTACAACTTTATGTTCAGTTTGCGATGTTTGTGTAGGACTGTAGGCGATCACTGACACATATCATCGATATCAGGTAATTTTTATCTTTATCATAGAGTCAGACTTCTATCATCTTCAAGAAATCATTCAACTCAACAAATGATTGTTTTGGTTATTTAGTTGTTGATTTTAGAATAGTAAAAATTCGAGGATAATATTTTGATTTCGATGAATATTATGCTAATGAAAGGGACAAGTAGCATTTTTCAATCCATTACGAGAGAATTTATTGAGTTTCTTAATTTTTTCTTCGATATTTTACTAAACAGAAAGCAAAGCTAATATAGTTTCAAAACCCATCGAACATTTTCGCATCGCAGTTTTGTTTCTCTACATAATTAATAAAATAGGCTTCTTCAAATGAATTGAATTGAAGGGTCATAGAAGAGATCTAGTTGAATTTCATGATTTTTACATTTCTTGAATTTAGGAAACTTAAACATGCATTAGAGAAATGAAGTCATTAAAAGAAATTAAACATAGTTCTAGGTAATTATCCAATGAATGTCAGTACAGGCCCCTATAGTCAAAGAAAAAAAATAAGCAGTGTTTTGGGTGCAGTTTTATTCTGACACTTATGGTAATCTTAAAATAAATAAACTTTCATCTTCCTTTTTCTCGCATCATTTTTGGCAATTAGCAATCTGTATTTGAAATTGATGCAATAAGTGTCCAACACGATATGAGTTTAAATAATGAAAAATGCTTCTCCAATCATGAGATTTTCAACATATAAATAATGAAGTCACTTTGAATTGAGCACAAACAAAGTTTGAGTCATACTAGGTACTGCGCACACCATTTTTTCAAAATGAATACAATGCTTGATATTTGACGGTAATGAATGTTTATGATGTTTTCTAGTTCAAGAAGATGCATCAAAATAATTTCCTGATTCACGACTAGAAGTGATTATGCTCATATATTGTATCAATACTTTGCAAAAATCTCATCCTATATCATTTTGTGTCATTTATACGTTCTCTACAAATAACCGAAATTCCATAGCGGAATCAAGTATTATCGTTTTCGGACATTTCATGCGTCATATGATCAAAAGACCATTGTAAGCTGCAAAATTCTCCAGTGACCATGATTTTGTCTGTTCGCTCAAACTTCATAAAGGTTTTAAACTAAACTCTTTGCTAGACGCACAACACGAAAGAAAAACGAGAAATCGCATTCAAGAATAAAAGCTTATCTCAATAGATAAACAAGTCGACATGATTGATCGATCGTATTTACGACAGTTTTCCAACAGTTTCAAGACCCGATAATATTGATGATTTCTGCCGTCTTAATTATTGTCGAATCGGGCTCAACCATCGACTCTATAGCATCAACTTTGCCCCACTTCACATACAGTTTTCAATAAGCACCCATATAGCCTGTTTAAAAAAATTCAGAAACTAGAAAAAGAACTTTGCTAAACGGTTTTCAGAGACACAACAAATGATCGTCGAGTTGTCTTACTCGCAGAAAATCATTGTTCCAATTTTTATAAGCCTAAATACAACTCTTTTCAATTTGATATCATCTTCTAAATTTTATTTAGTAAATACTCTAAGATTAGACAGGGACGAATAATGTCTGTAGGAAGAAGAAAACATAGATGCTCGATGTATTCATTCATCTTTGTGAACCTTCTTTGTACGGCTAATACAACGCATGCTTTTCAAATCAATGGATAAATAGAATAGAAAGTCTATCATCGTCTTGATAGTGTTTCTAAGATTCTAAGAAAAGATCAAAACTGGTACACACAGAAAGATCTGCAATCGCCAAAAGCGAAAACTAGACATTTGCAGTACTGAATTTTGCAGAGAACTTTCATCAATGAATGATTAATTTGCTGTTATCAAAGCAGACCAATTAAAACACAAACGGATTAAAATTCTAATTCTTTAGCAATTCCAAGTAACACATATCTGAATTTAGATTGAATGAATGTCAGAAATTCGAAAATGATTCCAGTTGATTCCTCTTCGTCGTCTTTTATAACAGATGGACTGAAAAATCTTTTCAAGTTAAGCAACAGAAAAGACAAGTCAAGTCGCAATCATTCTTCTATCAAAAAGGTAAAATTAACTGGAAAATTTTAATCTTTTATTTTATCAAAGCTCGTTTGTATATATACATCTATGATTGATATGTTTATGCTTGAATCACAATTACAAAACAAAAGTGGAAACTAAGGTCAAAAAATAATCAAAAATCATATGGCAGGAATATCAAAAACTCTATTATACTTGGTCATTTCGTAACAAATGCAAGGAATGTTGACCACACTATTGAACACATATTGACAAACAAAACACTAAAAACAAAAACATTTATCTTGAATATTTTTATTTAAACTTTTTACTTACCGATGTTGTATTGGAATAAAATAAAAGTTCGTTAATTGAATAGCAGGCCATGCTAAATAATTACCTTTCATTACAGTTGGAAAGTCCTATTAAAAAAACATACAATAATCTTTTAATCAAGAATTCAAGACTACATTTCATTTGATTTACTTGACGCAAACGTTGTTTTGCTTCAGTCATTGATTTTCCACTAATTAATGGCAGATAAATAATAATAGCAAAATTAAGAAGTGGTGCGGCAATGGTCTACATATTTAAAAAAAAGTACTTTCTTCATATTTTCTCTCAAAACAAATGAACCTGATCTGTAATCATCATTTTCATAGGCTTTAGTTTAGCACCGGCAAAAAATTTATCTAACCCATAATACCAATATCGAAGAAATGGTCCCTAATAAAAAATAGAGTAACTATCTAGAAATATTATTTCTTCAGCAAAATCCAATGTACCGAAAATAAATAACCAAAGGCAGCAAATCGAGTAACACGAGCCCAATCAATAGTGTTTAATGTTCGATCTTCCATTATCGTCTGTGAAATAATATTTCCCAAACCCATTGTGGTTCCTATTTTTTTTAATCAGATATATTCATTTCAAGATTCTCATCATTCTATACCTGTTGTTAAACTCATTGCGAGTAAAGGATTTTGTAAGACGAACCTATTGTATTTTCTTAAAATCGACACCATCTGTGAATAAAATTCAAATAAATAAATAAATATATATATATATATATTATCAATTTGATTTATTTATAGAACAATATAGATCAATACAAATTTTCAAATCAAACGGATATACAAGAATAAATTTCTTGCCAAAAAAAGGAAAAGAATTCTCTTTATATGAGTTAATGACAATAAAACACACATGCCCATGAATGACTAGTTGACGTAAAAGATAAGATATCTATATCATACAAAAGACACGAGAAAAGAATGTTCGGAATGAATAAAAGTATTGCACAAAAAGAAAACAAATATAAACTGAATGGAATGCATAAATGTTCTATTAGGATGTTAATACTGGAGTACGAGATCGATCTTGTTCATCAAGATATTGCGCTAATTGTGCACGTTTCTTTTTACTTAAATGTGACATCATTGTTACTAATGCCTTGCGTTGTTTTATTGTATACATCTATAGATACATTAAATAATTGAATAGAAACAAAAAAAGATAACAAAGTATTTATTTCATTTTACTGTATTATCTCGAATCCATTGGTCAATTGATTGTTCAGGTAAATAATAAGCTTTTATATAATTTTCAACAAATTCTTTATGTGGTAAAGGTCTAAATTAAATTTAGAAATCATTAGTAAATTAATTAGATCATATATAAATGAAGAGTATTTTATGCTGAGTAAAATGTACTTAACATATTCTTCTGTACTTGTTATTTTACAGAAAAATAAGGGTGATAAAATGTTCCCACTAACTCTTTGACCATATGTTTTATAAAGACTATATTATTATCCTATATAAGAATACCTGATAATTATACAGCAGTTTGAAAAGAAATAAACTTAAATTAAATTATGTTTTTTTCATATTTTTCCAAATAATTTGAAACATAACTTTTTCAAAAATGAGTTTTCAACATATTCAAAATTATCTCCTTTCGTTGATCGATTATTGAATACAGCGCTACGGAGTATTTAAACAAAGCAAAAAAAGATGTGCAATTTTATTTGCAAACAGTAGTATATGTATCTTTTCTGAGTAAGTAATGATAATGATGCATGTAGAATGTCGAACAAGAATTAGAAAATTTGATCCGAGAGGGTAATTATAGTTTCAAAACACTATTGTATTCAGTTCATTAATTGGAATATTAGTTCATTTTTGTGCTCGAAAAGAAATTTCGAAAGAGATGACAGAAGAGTCGATCGAGTAGGTCTTGGATTCGGCCAAATCCATATTCGTCTCTGGAAATGTTCTTTTGACTGAAGTCAATCCAACTAGTCTTTTTCTGAAATTAAGAGCTAAATATAGCTTAATTCTTATAAGATCACAGTCAAGAGATTGTCTGAGAAATATTTATTAAAATCTCATTCATAGTATTAAGAATATGGTTCGAGTTTGGGTTCGAAAAACTTTAATGAGTCGAGTTCAGATCCCTGTTGACCAAATTTTGAACTCTCAAAAAGCTCTACATGACAACCGTTTCGAATATCTCTATTGTTGATCACCATTAAAATATTAGCTTAAGCAAATGTTAAAGTAAATGCTGAATCAACAATACTATTTTTCTAAAACATACTTAAGATCTTCGATAATACGTTCTAATCGTCGAAGTAATTGTTGAAAATCGAGTTGCATTAATGCTCGACCTTCATTACTACATTGTTTAGTACTTGCATAACTAAAAAAAGGCAAAATAAACATTTATTTTTTAAAACAATTTCTCATTATACAATTTACTCATACCCTTCAACCATCGTATAAAAAATTTTGTCTAATATTTGATCCCATATTGTTCTATAAACATCTTTGGGTATGGATAATAATTGTTCATTAATATGATCGAAACGGTTTCGAAATGTTTGTAATTCATTTGCAAGTATATCAATATAAACATTATGTTGCGATAAAATTTCTCCTATATCCCAATTAACTTTACTTATCATTAATGCTATTGACATATAATCAAGAACATTAGCTGATACATTATGATATATTGGAATGCGTAATTCACGTGTTACTTGTATAGTTTGAGAATAAAATTGTGTTAAAAATGTATGACGATCAGTTGGAATCATCAATTTTAAGTAGGGAAGAAGAAAATCAAATTGTTCAGCAAGAAAAACAAGTGATTCAGCAGCAACAATACGTTGTGGAAGACCATAGAGTACACTTGTTGAACTATTTATATCAACTAATGGTGATAGATGAGCAGCAGCTATTTTTTCCTATTCATAGAATATTTATTAATTATTCAAATAAACTAAGACTGAAAATGAAATCTCTTATGACTATTATCATGCAAATACAAATGTAAATTAAAGATAGATTTGTTAAGGTTGTTGTTCAAATGTAAGATTTTGTATTAAGCTCTCTCGTTTAATAACATACAAGATACATTTAACAAATGAATAGTGTCCGTTTTTTTCCTCAACAACTCTTATTTTCCATAGAGTAAAATCTCTCGAATCTAGGCATCATCGAGATGAGCGTAAAGTGCTCACTTTGCGGCGATGATTATTATTTGGAAGATTTTAGTTTCTCTTTTTTGAAACCATCCACGTCCAAGAAAACGTCACCGTAAACGATATAGACTGGCGTCGTTAAGTCGCCGTTATCCGTAAGCTTGGAATATGACAAAATATAGTGAAAATTAATGTAGTAATACGTCATTTTATAGCTGCTTAAGATACCGTTTCCAATGGTCAGAATAATTGCCCTGAGCTATAAGTCTCCAGTTGCAATCGTTTTTCCGCTGCATAAGATGATTGTTTTCTTATTTTTCAGTTTCTTGTTGCAACTTTTTTTTAATTAAAGGTAAATCAATACATGTTGATGTTATTAGCTGTTAAGACAAAAATGACGAGATGTTACACAAACTATTGCTACTGTCATCAACTTTGTTTTATTTTTGGTCTTTTAAATTGCGTCAGTTAATCTATCTCCTTTTCCAATGTGTCTAATGATTGTTTATCATACAACCAATTTTTTTTCTCATTTTGCACGTAAGTTGCTCACAAAAAAAACTGCCCTAACAAACACTCGCCGTTTCAATTCATATTAGACTCACAGAAAGATATCGGTGAGATGAGAAAAAACCTAAGAGGATTCGTCTCCATAAACCTTCATCATTGAATTATGAGCTGTTTAGTAAATTTTCGATTCATTTGTAGGTGGTTTCCGAAAAACTCAATGATAGAATTTCGATCTAAAATTTTATCTATAGATAGGTCTAATGACTCTTGGAATATTTTGAAAGCTTCAACCTACAAGAATGTTTCTTCGTCAAGATATTGAATTTCCAAAAATAGCCATTCATCACAAAACTCCGTTAGTTGATCTTTCGAAGAATATCTAGATATGGGTCAGAACTCCAGTAAATCAGTCTTAACTTGGCATCGAATGCTAATAAGAACGAACCCTTTTAAATTTCTACTATTCTCATTAAGAACAGTCTGTGGATCCAATATGAAGTCAAACGGCGGGTGTCAAGTAGTGTAGCGTCCTCGACTGATTACAGAGAGTGTTATTGCTGATGAAATCAGAAATAAATGCTTATTATTCAGAATAAAGAGATAATCATATCAAATAGGGTCATTCCTAGCCAATGTCGCTTGAGGCTGCACAATATAACAAGGTGATCATATAGAAAGGTTCTATGATAGCTTTTTTTCGTGTGTCGATCTAACGTAGAATACTTATATGCTTAAACGCTATCAAAATATTTCGTCAATGAAGTTAATAGTTGTTTCGTAGATTTTTGAAGAAAAATTCAAGTGAATAGTTTGAATATAAACATGTTTTTTTTATTATCAAAATTCTCAAGGTTAATAATCGATTTATAGAACTGAAAAAATCTTTTCTATGTTTAATTAATATTCAAACTTATATTTACATGATGTGCCACTTCTGAATCATTCTATAAAAAACAAAAATCAAATAAATATTATATTCATTACTTGATGAACATATTTCTTCTTACATTAGCAATTAAATTATCACTAATTCGCTTGATTGTAAATCTTAATTGAGGACTTAAGGCATCAACTGGAATTTCATTCTAAAATTAAATTCCTGACACTTATCAATTAAACAAAAATAATTTTACCATATCACAAGCAAATAAAGTATAAACTGTATAAAGATAATAGTCAAAAAGTTGTGTCATACAAATGATAACATCAAATGCAATAGGTTTAAGCATTTCGATCATTTCCATATATCGTCCTTTAATTATAATTATACAAAAAAAAATATCAATAAAAACTTTTTTTTCTTGAAAAAGAAAAGAATATTTACCAAATAATCTGGTTACATTTAAAGTTGTATTTGTAACAATAGTTAAGCCATTTTTTTCATCAAGATATACAGAATGATTACGATGAGTCAAAGATCTTTTTCGTTCATGATCGTTATTTTCAATATCTGAATCAGTTGATGAATTTGAATTCGATCGAATTTTTCTTTCCTATCAAACAAAATTTTTAGATATAAGTCATTGAAAATTTTGCTTTTTTTTTGACAAACATTATAAGAATTTCCATTGACAATATTTCCATCATCAACATCTAAAGAATTCGTATCACTATATTGTGATGGTGAAGATGACATTGTTGTTTGTGTTTGATCAAGATCAAATGGATGTTCACGTTCAGTATATAAATATCGATCAAATAAATCAAGATCAGACTTCTGATTAAATGATGTTGAAGTTGCTAAATCCGATGAAAATGATGGTGCTTCACGTAGAAATCGAAATTCCTAAAAAAATAAAACAATGAAATACTATTTCCTTTCAAATGTTCACATCATATTTTATTATTAGCACAAGTTGAAAGATATGTTCATTTAGACAAGAAATATTCTCATTGTGTATAGGATGATATAGTCTTACATGTAATTGAGTTATATGAAAAGTTGATTTAACGGGGCATCGTTGCCAAGTTTCATTTTCGAGAAACATTTTTAATTCATCTAAACGACCATTATGATATGAACGAAAATAAACTACACTTTGCCGACGCATAGCTTCTTGAAGTATATTAGAATCACTTTGACAAAATTGTTCACCTATTTCCAGAAGTCTAAATTTGATATAGAATAAATTTATTATTTTATTAAGAAAATAAAAAAGAATGAAGAATAATTACCGATTAATAACTTTAAGTACTTGTATAAATGCTTCGAATTTAAAATGTGTCATATTATTTTCGAGAATAAATGTTTTCATTTTTTGTTGAATTTCATGCCATAAACGACTGGAACCACTTTCAAGTTTTTGAATAAGAAAATCTTGACTTGGTTCTGGTCTATCACCTTCTGTAGTTGCAATATGAAGAAACATAATTATTTAAAGTAAAAAGCAAAGTAATATTATTTTACCTTCAATTAATGCAGGATTTTTTTCATGCCAAAGCCAAATTAATTTATAAGATTTAATTATTTGCCAAAAGCATACATTAAGTTCATGCAAACAGCTGTAAAATGATTCTTCCGGAATCATCTAAACAAATCAATTATTTACTTTTTTCTATGAATCAACAATATGTTGGTTCATTGGGAATTACTAATGGAAGATAAGAAGATGATGGATCTGGACTATGTATTATTGTAAAACAAAGTAACTAATGAAGGAATCTTCTCAAATGTTCCTTTCCGGTTTCAATGTTTTTTTTGTATATAGATATTACATAGTATTCTAATAAAAACTCTAAAAGGATTTGGATTCTTATTGAGATGTAACTCAACTAATGAATTTTTAGTATGTCTATTGGCTAGACACTCCAGGCTTTCGGGAAACTCGTATTTTTGAGTTTTGATTTGAAACGTTCCGTTCATAGAGAATTCAACTAGATTAGCTTCCATAAAAAAAAAACTGAAAAGTTTTCAATAAAGTCTCTTCGACATATGAAGCTCTCAAAAAAAATTCATGTTGTATACACTATTCATAGAAAAGGGTCTATAAATTGAAAGTCTCATATCTCGAAGAGACTCTGTTCAGAACTTATGAACTTTTTTATGGATCTTATTCTAGTTGAGCTTTATATGTGCAAAATTTCAGTTAAAAATTCGATAGCTTAATCAAATCTCACTTGGAATCTAAACTCTTTCAGAGTTTTTATTAAAGCACAATGTAGTATCTGCAGGCAAAAAAATCACTGAAATCGGAAAGAGACATCGAACGAGGTTTTCTCGTGAGTTCTAAATTCGAGTCTGAAGATATGCAACTTTGGTTATATATCAAAAAATGTTTTCTTAAGGAACGAGTTTTTACGCGAGACGTACAAGATCAATTCTTGGTCTCGATTGACAGGATTAAATCTGAACTGGAGCTACGAGAAAAAAAGTTGTCCGAATTGAAACGAAAGATTATAGTTAAATGTTCAACAGTTTTAAAAAAATGATCTTAGAAGACATACTAATCAATGGATAATTCAGGCGAGACGGCTAAAAAGACTTGTCATTTGTTTGCTGAATAAACAAATCTTTTAACTTGGTACTTCAAAAAGTAAAATTACTTTGACCAGAACCAGAACTAGAAAACTTTAGCCCTGTACACATTTCGTTTCTACTAGTCCACAGCTGTATAAAAAGAAATCACGAATGAAGACCAAAGTACATCTGAAATCTATTTCTACGTAGAATGCAATCGGTTAAGAAGAAGAAAAAATGTTAAGAAATGATTTCCTTTAGCATACTTTGAACTTGTTCACATACAAATAAAATCCAAAATGATTTTTTTCTTACAAGATAATTATCTTGTTTTTAAACTCTTTTCTGTTTTGCAACAGTCCCACAAAGCCGCTAGCATAATCTGTAAGAAATAAAAATATAGTCTATTTAGTTCATAGAGAAAAATGAGACTTATCCAACCATTCTATTCTTATAGATGCCTATCAACTTCTAACTTTCCATTTTTTGTAATTTATAAAACTAATACAATAGAGTTCACTATCGAATTTAGATTAGTAATAATTTTTGATGCAACATTAACTCAATTGTCGATCATAATATATTTGAAAGAAAAAAATCCGTAAATCTTATCCTATACTGATTTGAATTTATATTTTATATAAGTAGTTTACTTTGCATAAATCAATATAAGAAGATAAACTTTGATCATTATTTGTTGATCCAATAGTTTTTAACAAAATTTCCAATGTACGTGTTTGTACAACATTGACAAAATGCATTTGTAATTGGTCCATAAATGTTAATGATTTTCCAAGTAAACGATAAGCATTTAATAGACGTTGATATGTATGCGGATTAAAGTATGAACAAAGTTTAGCTAATGTTACATCAATTGATTCTTCAATAAAATCTAATGTATCTTGAAGTTTTGTTGAAAGATCTCTAAAAAGAACATTTGTCAACGAATGCCCTCTTTACGGATAAAAAGTGGAACTCATATCATTCAAATTTTGGCTCGAAACATGACTGTCTAAGAATTTTTTGAAAATAGTAATAACTATTCATTTCTCAAAAAAGTTTAACTGGTAAATTATCCACAAATAAAAAAATTCCTGGCTACGACACTGCTTGATGTTAATGTCGTTCAACGCTATTTTCCTTCTACTAAGGATCTGTGTGAAAGAACTCTGATGCCTGTTGTCCTCAGTTGCTATGGAAACGTACCTAATGATCGTTAGCCTTCATTGTTACGATGAGAGGAGCAGCAAAATCTCGACTTAAAATTTACACTCACAATACTTTTCTTCAGGAAACGTTATGCAAGTTCCACAAAAAAAAAAAGAAAATTTTGGCGAATGGCTGTTTTTCTATACCCTATACATTGATACTCTTTATATTGAAGAACAGTATTTTCACATTGTGAACATAATTGAATTGCACCAACAAAATCTTCTTGCTAAATTAATTAACTAAGTGTTAAAACAAAAAAGTCTTTTATTGAATTTATTTTACCTTCACCATTTCTTTCAATTTTTGATCAATACTGTGCTAAAGAATCAAAATTTCTTGTTTTTTTTCGATATTTTATTCAAAAAAATAACTACGAACTAATTTTTTTAACTTTTCAATATTTCGAAGAACATTCATCCATTGTTGTTTACGCATTGCATTTCTAATTAAGCCTAAATTTCGTGTTGTTATTTGACATTGTGCACGACGAAGGTTTCTACACAAATGAAATACAAATATAGATTTTTGTTTTTATTTTTTTGCGAAAGAAAATTTTCAACTAACCTTCGTGCTTTATGACATATTTCAATTGAACCTTCTAATGCACTTGTTAGTACAGTAACACGTTGTAATTCGGCAGAATATGAGGAACTATTTTCAAGGACTAATTTTGATACACGTTTTGATACCTATAAAATTCGACGAGAAAATTAGAGAGTTCTTTTTTTGTTTTACGAACAGCTGTTAATTGAGTATTAAGGCGATCACGACGTGTTATCACATCAGAAAGGTTTAAAAATGGATTACCATTTTGTGATGAAAATAATTTCTAGTTTGAAAATATTAAAATGTTGAGAAGTGAAAGAAAAAAAAAACAAACAAGTTTCTTTTTACTTGAAGTTCATATTCTTTAGGATCGAAATTATCTTCGACATAATAACACTCTTCAATTGTATTTAATGTTTCACGATCAGCTTTTTCGCTTACGCTTAAGAATCCATGATCCTAAAAAGATAATCATATATTTACGAAGAACAAATTTTTTTAACAATTTTAGCTCACCTTGAATGAATCAAACATGTTTAATATCACTGCTTTGCATACTCAAATAGTAAATACTAGAAAAAGAAAAAGAAAAAGAAAAAAAAATTTCACATTGATATGTTTTTTTCTCTAATATAAAAATATAATTAACATAGTCAGAATTGACAGAAAAAAATGCACATTGCTATCGAGTAAAGTATGCTTCTTTTTTTTTTCATTCAAAAAATAACAAAAAAAAACCGCCACTACAGGAAATGTTTTATTACTATCACAAATCTCAATAAAAAAAAACCATATACATTGATTGATTAATCAACTATCAATGATGTTCGTGTAACTAGAAGAAATAACCAAATGTGTGTATTCAACCGATTAATTGACACTTGCTAATATATGTTGTTGTTTATTTGAAGGAAAGTATTGTCTAAAAGAAAAAAACAAATCATTTCATCATTAACATATTTAAGGTTTGTTTATCATAGTGAGTCAGAAATTTTTCTGATTTATATATATATGTGATTATCTTATTTAAAGAACATTGATCATAAAATTATTTGTTTCAAAATGAGTATTATAATTGAATTTAAATAATTGATAGATTTTGTTGATAAAAGTTAAATGTTGAATAAAATTTTCTTATTCAAATATAAACAGGACATGTCAAATGTTGAACAGATCAAATATTGATTTAGTGATGTTTTTTTTTCTTGCGAAAAAAACTTAACGTCTTTATCATTGTAATGAGAATTGATAATAAATTTCATCGCATGAGCTACATCGATAAACAACAGCAGTTTATTTTGTGTTATCTATGATAACGTGAAAATAATATGTGACTAAGCTTGTCATTTATTTTGTCTGGTCAAGTATCTCGAAAAATTGTTTTTATCATTATGTTTGCCTTTAATAAATAACCAAAGCAAAAAAAGAACGATCTGATGAACTTCCGATTGTTATTTTTAGAACAATGAAAATGTATTTTACAAATACTTTGTAATACTATTTTTCGAAAGAGTATTGTGTTGGATGAACAATTAACAATAAAAGTAATCCAGACTGTTTATTAAGTAGCTTTTGCATAGAATATTTTCTTTTCTTATTCTTTTCACTTCGATATATTTTGCAACACTAACTTTTTGACATGACATATTTCATAAAAAAAAGATTTTAAAGATTTTTATAACTTATCCTTAACTATTAATTGTTATTTTTATTCGTTTCGTTTAAAAATTAATGTTATTGATCTAGATTTCTTTTGATTTTTTTATGATGATAAAAATGTATTTTAAATCATCGACGATTCACTAAATACTAAAAATCCTTAAATCAATATTTTTTTAATATAAATTTCTTTTATGACTTAAGCGTATTCGACAACGAAGAGTTTTTAAATAAAAATCAATGCTTTTCTTTTTATATAGAATTATGATAAATTATAAGATCAAAATAATTTCATAAAATGTTAATACTTATTGAACAAAAAGAGAAAAAATGAAGTTGTCATCAACAGATGATTTTTGTTTTGATAATTCAACATTGATAGTTTATCCAGGTTACACATTCTATACAAAGAATGTCTTTTCAAGAGATAGAAAAAAGTTGCGTGACGAAAAAGAACTTATAGGGGATGAGGCGAAACTCTCTGTGAAACACTTCGAGATAGAACTTAAACTTCTTTTTTAATCTAACTCAAACGTTTGTAGGGACAGAAACTTAAGGGGAGTCCTTCTTTCCAGGGTTTCTGAAAAACAGCTCATCAGAAATATTTGAAACTTTTAGGGAAGATATATCTCAATGAAAAGAACAAAACTTTTCATAGACTCAAAATCACCTTGCTTTCTCAACAGGAAAGAGCTCGATTTTTTTACAGATGTTAGACATTATTAGGGATGCCTTCTTTTTATCTCCTTCGTTTCGAAACAGAAGATTAAAATATAGTATCCAGTACTTGTAAAAAAAGTTTCATTTCAATCAAACATACTATGTCGGAGAAACAGAGGCAGTTCTCCACTCTCTTCATGTAAAAATTAATATCTAGAAAAATGAAAAAAAGAACAAATTTTCCTATAATCATCAGAATTCTTTTTTTCCAACTAAAGTGATCTAAAAAAATTGACAGTGTTAGGGGTCCATGACCCATGGTCTCAGCACCTTACCTAATTATCATTAGGAGAATTTTGCATGCAAAATATTATCATAGTGTGAATTTTTCGAGAGTTGGATGTAATAAAAGTACTAATTAACTAACAATGAAAAATCCAAAAATTGAAAATCATTTCGATTTTAACATCCGGAAAGAAGGGTCTCGTTTAAACCTTCTACACAAGTTGAGCCGCAGTCTGGTTATGCTACAAATAGAAAGATGTTGAAGAAAAGTCATTTCTAATAAAATAGAATTATTCTTGTGTTTATCATAGCCTAAAAATACTAAAACAATTTCGGTTACTTGAATTTCTTGATTAATGTAGAAAAGATTATTTTTAATTAATCTATCGTATGGTTTTCTTTTAAACTACTAGATAAAAATAAATATTTGATCTGGCTGAAAGAACTCATAATTAAACATTTGTTTTAAGAAGAAAGCAAAAACATGATTAGATTAGTCAAACGTGTCTCGAGGTCTACCAGTGCAGTTTTGCCCCATGAAAATTTTACAAGGAAAAAAAAGATTAGACAAGAATATTGCTTTAATGTTTGGTGATAAGAAAACATGTCATCAATCCATCTTCATTTCGAAATGTTTTTGAAATTTATTCCAAATATATTGTTTCAATGAAAATAAGTTTAAAAACCATGATTATTATTTTAAGATTAATTATTTAACTTAATTTAAATTCAAAAATATTTTTTCATACTTATTGACTTCTCTATCAAAAATAGAATATTTGTTTAAAAAAATTTCATTTTCTTACCATTGAATAAATCTTATTTAAATGTTTAATTGAAAATAGAACCTAATAATAATATTTGTCGATAGATAATCAGCCATACTGACTATTCTATCTTCTAAGAAGATTTTCTTTACTATTTGTTATTGTTTTGATTTCTATTGGTTTCTATTTGTGACAAATGAGAAAGAACTGTGTTGGCCGCCGCTATAATCACAATGTCATATTATAATATGTTTCGTTTTCACAAAAAATTTCGTAAATAACAATTAGAATTTAATAAATTTTATTTTATTTATAAACTCGATGTAGTGATCGATTTATATACTAACAAGTTAAATATTTAACGATTGTATATTCGAAAGATTATATTTGATCGAGATTTTTTTTATCTACTAGAAAAACAAAATAAAAATTTTATTATTCACTCTATAACATTTTCAGCTTCTAGATAATTTAAACTGTCTTCATTTATTATTTTTATTGATTTTATCATAAATATCTGATCAATGAATGGGTTTCGAGTCGATTGTATTCAGTGAATAAATTAAAATAATCATATATTTAGTCATGGGTCTGTTCCGACAGGAAATCTCACTGAAAATCGATGAAACATGAAAACAGTGTTCTGGATCGGAAACTGTCTGAATTTTTTCTCTGACTCTCAGTAACCTTCCGGTTATTTTCGATAGAAAACGACCAAAAGTCATCGGAAAAACCTGGAGACATGCCAGTACGATATACTGCTTCCACTTTTCATCGATTTCCGGACAGATGCCATGATTTTTCCGACTAATTCCATTGAAATCTGCTTGTTTTCAGACGTCAGAACTATCGAACTAAACACAAAGATTTGAGAGAATATAACTTTTATGATATCTTCTGAATGTGAAAACAAATCTTGAATAGTAATTCATTTTCTTTCATTATTGAATTATTTATTCTATTATTCAGACTATATCATCAAGTTCATTCTGACACTTCTGTTCAGTCAAAATCGGTAAATATATTTTCATTTTACATTCAGTTTATTAATAAATCATATCTTATGTCAATAATATCATTGAATTAGCATTATTTATTCGCGTTACTTTTAATTGATGTTTTAAATATAAACTTTTTAATTGATCAAATTTACGTAATGAATTAGAATAAATCCTTGAGTTTTTATTTCATCTAAAATCATTGAATTTACATATATTATTATATTGATTTTAGCGATACAATAACATCGAAATGCTTCATATGTGATGAATTTTTTCGTAAAATGCTTATTTATATTTTTTTTCACTACTCAATGACCCTAAAAGACCTGTCATCCGTAAATCTATGATGTACAGTCAACTTGCTCCTATATTTTTTATTAATGTTTTTTTTTCAGCTAAATCAACTTTTATTTAGTAAACACGAGTGTAGTACCACAAGCTTAAAAAGAAACATGCAACACGAAAAAACATTCATATAATTGGTTATTTCTAGCTCCTAGATACTGCCTAGACACACTCATATCCTATTACAATTGTTTGAATAGCGGCTGTTGTATTGTTAGTAAATAAAATTAATGTCGAGTTTGATTATTGCATATATTAAACAATTCAATGTGAAATAATGAACATTGATATCATGAGATTAATAATTAAATTTATAATACAAATTCTTCTTTCACAAACATTTTTCGAACAGATATTCAATCGGCAATTGTTTTGCTTCTTGAACTGTCTTATTCTGCTAAATCAAAAAAAGAAAAATCTAAAAAAACTATCAGTGCCCTTCAGAGCATAACAGAATTACTATTATATCGAAATATCTTGAAGGCAAAAATGCAGAAGAAATATAAATATTATTACTCCGAGCAAAAGATAAAAAATTTGAAATATTCTTATCAAACATAGAATGTATCGTACAAATCACAATACTTTGAATTACGTCTTTCGTTTTTTTCCCTATTCTTATCTCTCAATCTATTACTCATTGTTCGATTTTTTTATTTTAGATAAATATTCATCGTTCTTTCATTATTGATTTATTTGAAAAAAGAAAGGAAACCAAAAACAACAGAAGAAAAATGGATGATCAATCGGATACATCAGCAATAGTTGATGATGAGAATTTAGCTTTACTCAATTCGGATAATGCATTAGACATATCTATCAGATCAAGACGTATGTATTCAAATCTTTTAAATAATTATTTATTTTTTGTTTTTTAAATACTTTTTAGCATCTATGTCATGGATTATGGCTGCAGGTCTTATTATTAATGCAGCTATGGGTGTAAGTAGTTAATTAAATTTGTATAGTAATGTAAATTTCTCTAATTTAAATGAACTCTTCCCTCTCTTTGGTTTTTTGAGGTCTTTTGAGAACTAGTCTATGAAAAACAATGAAACCTTCCAGACAGATAGATCTCGATAAGTAGAACAAAAGTTTCATAGACTCAAAACTTTCAGATATTTTCTTCCGGGAGTTATGAAGAGTCACAAAAGCCTAAAATTGCCAGAAGTTCCTATCTCGCAAAACTCTATACTTCATTTTTTCTTACTGCAATATTTTCTATGACAACTAGAATAAAATCGAACATGTTGTTTTTCAATAGTACTGATTTTTTAAAGGGGCTCCAGAATTTTGCAGGAACAATATTTTGAAGAAAAACAAATATGCATCCTAATTTAACCGAAGTATTCTTTACAAAAATGTAAGCTTAACCAGACGTACTCTATGGGAGAAAAAAAAGAGGAAAAGCTTCTGGTTTTTTTTTGTTCAAAAATTGATTTAGAGAAAAACGAAAGTCAAAGTTTTCTGTATGTATCAGAACTTTTTTCTTTAATTTTAAAAACATGAATTGAATTAAAATATCGCACAGGTTTATTTATTAGTCTACTAATGTAAGGAGCAATCTATAAGATCATTACAAGTGATATCTAAAAAGATCATTCACATATGTTGTGTTTTACAAAAAAAGGAAAAAACATCAGTTTGTTTATTCATCCAAATCTTATTTTTCTATGATTAGGCCGGTCTTTTGAATATAGCCAAAGCTTATGATGATGCTGGTGGTATATTTATTAGTTCAATTCTTCATGGAGTAATTATCTTAATTATAATTTCTATTATATTTCTACTATGTATGTAATATATTAGATTGTTGTCATTTTGGTACTTGGTGCTTATGCTATTTTATTTGTGTGTTGTGATCAATCGACATCATCGTATGAAGCATTTGTTCTTATGAAATGTGGAAGAGTTTGGCAAAGAATTTGTTCTGTTTGTATTATATTATATATGTAAATAAAATTTTCAAAGAAAAATAAAGATTTTTATAATAATTAGAAACCATATATTTTAGGTATGGTTTAAGTATAACATTTTTTATTATTATTGGAGATCAATTAGATCGATGTATGTGAGTAAAATAAAAGATTTTAAATACTACTATTATTTAATTTAGTTCTTACTTTTTTTGATCCACTTTTTTGTCGTCATTGGTATTTTGATCGTCGATTTACAATACCAATAACATCATTATTACTTATATTTCCATTATGTTTTTCAAAAACAATTAAATTTCTACAAATTCCTAGGTATTAAACATAAATAAAAAAACACACATCAGAGATATGCACTGTTCGAGCAGAGACGAACGTGCCTTAATTACACCAGCTGTTACACTCTTTTATTAGAAAGTTTTTTTTTAAAAAGAATGTATAATAAACGCTGAAAAGTTAATAGAAAGGATTTATTCGTTAATAGACTTATTCTTTATAAAATAATGTTAGTTTTATTATCTCATTTTGATTCAAATTTAGTGAATTGATTTGTAAAGATCATAATATTTAAATTCGTCTTCAACTTAAACTTATGCTACTTTAACTACAAAATAACTTGAAATGGAAACGACGACCCTATAAGGCAAGATATATATTTGAATTACATCTTGCCTAGTTAAGAATTCAGAAATGCAAGACTATTAGAGCCCGTGCAGTTGATCTCAGATCTTTCGGGCGACTTTTCTATTCCAGTTAGAAAATTCCATCGAGAGTATCACCATAGGGCTCTACCGAGTCTGAAAAATTTAGATCCGACACACTCTAAAGACTATCTAAGAAATATTATAACGTAAAATGTATGAGAATGATATTGGCTGAAACAAATTTCTCGAGTTAAGGTTAGGCACGGTGTAAATCTCTGTAGCATATATTTCTATTTAGTATGCTAGGAGTATTGGCCATCATTTATGTTGTTATTATGGTACCTATTGAATATTTTATAAAAAGACCAACAGATGTATTGATAAAAACAAGGTAAAGAATAAAATTTATTAGATATTTAATTTTCTTTTTAATAATTTTAGTCCGGAATCATGGACAGATATTTTCTTAGTTTTGCCAACAATGTGTTTTTCTTATCAAGTTTGTTTGTTTATCTTTAAATTTAATCAAATCATTATTTTATAGGCACATGTAAATGCTGTACCAGTTTTTGTTTCATTAAAAAATCGTGCTGATTGTATTAAAGCAACATTAGCATCAACAATTGTTCTTGTTCTTAGTTATTGTTTCGTTGCTATTTGTGGTTATCTTACATTTGGTACTAAAGTTGATCATGATATTTTAATGTCTTATCAGCCAATATCAGCCGTTGTACTTATTGCTATAATTATGGTAGCAATTAAAACTTATACAGCTTATCCAGTAAATTTATTTTGTGGAAGGTAAAAAGAAAATTGAAGTATTGAATAATTTGAGTTTTTGCTTTTCGTTTTATTACAAAAAATTAGAACGGCAATTGATTCATTATCAAAGGAATCAACAACATCATTGATAGCTACGGATCTAAAACAATCAATAAAAAGTCGAATTTTAATTGTTTGTCTTTGGTTTTTTTCAACATTAGCTGGCGCAATTTTTTTACCAAATATTTCTATAGCAATACATTATTTAGGTGCGCTTGCAGCTAGTTTCATATTTATATTTCCAGGTAAAGAAATTTGATTATTACTTTTTTTGTTTTTTATATTTTAAATTTTCGATTGTTTAGGTCTTTGTTTATATTTTCATATTGAACAAAAATGGATTAATTCATGGGGAAATATTATATCGATATCTATTGCTATTTTTTATGTTGCTATTGGAGTATTTGTTACTGTATTAACATTACTTCAATCATTAATATCTGATATTAGTGCTGAAGAAACTAGTGCAACAAAAACATGTTAATATTCTCAACTTGAATAAAATTTATATTGATCTAGTCTTACTTTTTATTTGTTTTGATTTTGTTTTCTAGTAAATAACCATGAGTATGCCAATTAGAAAAGTCCTTAGATGTATTCGTCATCGCGTAAGAACAAATATTAATTGAGGTGAAAGTACAATGTATTGTCATGATTTCTTTTGTTTAAAATGACTCGACTACTTGTTATTAAGTCAATTAGATAATAAAACGTATTCTAAATGTGAGTTAAGTATTTCCGTTATGATGAGTGGAAATATTTCAATGTTTAATGTACCCGGAGTCCTCGTCATTTGCATGTAGAAATGCGTTTAATTCAAAAAAAAAGAGTCGTTGAAATAGGTACTTTAGAATTTTAAGAATGTTGAAAGTTATATGGTTATATTTAATTCAATAAACTATTTTAAGAATTCCTTAATTTATTGAATATATTTTTAAAAATTAATAAGATAAGGTCTGTAAATATACAATAAAGCTTGTTTTTTTTGCTAAATAATGAAATTAGTTTATTTATACAATATTAGATGTCTAGACAAGCCATGTTTTCTTCTTTTGTTAATATATACAACAAATTATCACAATGAGGAAAGTTTTATCATTGTCTTTAACAATGATGCATGAAAATCCAGATTTTTTAACTATTGAACAATTTTTCCGCTTAATAAAGAAATCTTTTTGTAAGTTTCAATAGAATATGCTATAAAATAAATGAGACTATTTGAAAGTTTTTGAAAGAGTAGTTGTAATTTAATCGAAAACGTTTTGATAAACTCGTATTTCAAATTGTATAGTTAGAGAAATTTTTAAATAGAATTCCTTCTTTTTTTTTATTTTACATAAAATAAATTATCTTCGAAAGAAAATACAAATCTTTATTGTTCTATATTATTTGTTATGAGTTTCTGTAATATCTTTCGGTTAATAGAAATTGCAGTATTTGAATCAGTAGTCTATAGTGTTGAAAGTATTCAATTTTGTGTTGTTGTTGTTGTTGTTGTTGTTATTGAGTTTCTTTTTGGATCGTATGGAAACATAGAATTTGGTTTATTTTGTTCATGTCTATATGTTACATAATGTAAATGTCGTCCACGATGATTTGATGTATTTGTATGAGTTATTGAAGAATGTTTTTTACGATTATTTGATAACTTTTCACTATAATGTCGGCAATGTTTCGATGTTATTGGAATGTTTAGATGATCATTTCGACATGACACATTTTTGGGTTTTATACAATTAGTATCATGTATAGACAAACTTTCATAACTTTTCAATCGATTAGTATTCGTATGTAAATTAACTAGTGATCCTGAACGATCAGAAAATGAATGAAGATGATATTGAGATTGTATTGATACATCAGAAGATTTTTTTCTTATAAGGTTGATACTTTCACGATTTGCTCCATTCTCTGTTTGTCGCACAAGACGATTATTTCGTGGTTGCGACTCCCAAGAGTTTGCTTGTGTTATCTTTAAATATAGAAAGAGGAAGATGCGTGAGAATAAATCTTTTTCGCCTCTATTTTTTTTTGTTTGATGATATCCTTCCTTCCTTTTTCCTGATATTATTTAGTAATTAGATGTGAGAAAAAAGCTTCGTAATGCAACGTAATGACTTTGTATATTGGAAATACTTACATCAACTTGTTGTGAATGTTGTTGTATGTTTCGAATCGATGAATTTGTTCGTCGAAATGATGGATGACTTGATGTACGTAAAATTGCACTTCGACATTTTGTCATATGAAAACAGACACGACTTAATTCACGACGAAATCTTCGATTAAAATATGTAAAAATAAAAAAATTCACCTTTAAAACAAAAAATATTTGAATTATTTATCTTAGATATAATGAATTTTTTTCTTACTGCACTATTAACAAGAATTAAAAAATTTGATATATCATAACAAATATATAGTATTGGATGATTTCGATAAAACATATAAAGATAATGAAGAATTGATGCCGGAACTTGACATAATGTAAATAATCCAATTAAGCATATAACAGAACGTGTTATTGCACCTTCACGTTGTCGTGATATATTTGTTTCACGTTCTATCCGTGAATTCTGTACATATAATGATGTAAAATGTTTAAGAAAATTAGAACTAGCATTAATACTTCGAATAAGTTCAACATTAAAATAAGATAACATTAATAATGGTAATATACTTTGAAAAATACTATAGAGAACTATTTAGAAAAGAAAAAAAATGATAGAATTTCGATATAGAAAAAAAAAAATCTTCTTACTAAGATGAACAATATATTGATAAAGATGATTTTGAAGTACTTTATTTGCGACAACTAAATGATCAACATATTCAGTAAGACTTCCATTGAGAGTTAATTTTTCACGTTGTAATTCAGTTTTATATTCAAAAAATCTTGGTATTGAATATATAAAACCGAAACAATAAATTGCAACAGCAATATAACTAAAAAGAAAGAGAACGTTCATTTTCTTAATTGTATTCCATTTAATAAACAATGTATTTATATAAGACAGGCGAGAATGTGGGACAGGGAGGAGAAGAAGTTACGATGTCTTTGGAGCAGGTGAAAGTTATGGTTTCGTTGAGAGAAAAAAAGAGAGTTTTACACTCCATATACCCTCCGGTTGAGTCACTATTGTATATAACATTGAATTGGAATTAAATTCAATATCAGTGAAACTTACGAAGCTCGTTTTGAACTGTATGTATAATGTAACATTGGCCATTTAATAGCAAACCATCGATCAACAGCAAAACCGACAGTTATCCAAACACTGGTAAATTGGAACCATATAATACAAGGATAAACATATGGCAAGAGACGTTTATGAAGACGTGATGAATAAAATATTTCACTTTGTTGATTTGGATGAATTGAATCATTGATTGCTATAATAAGACCCATCAATAATAGACAACTATCACTGATACTTAAACTGGCTAAATATGTCGATACGGTACTACGCTATTAGAAATAAAATAAGTTAGAATAGAATTAATTGTGTACTGAGTTTCATTTTTTAAACGATTTATCACACTTACCATGTGACGACGAGTAAAGATGTACACAGAACATAAAGAAAGAATCAATCCAACTGAACATAAGGCTGTACCTATAGGTACCATAAGATCAAATTATTGATGACATTTTAATGCAATCATTTTTCTTACCGACATAGCCAAAAAAATAATGCGTAAATAACATGAGCCACATATTAAATAAAGTATGTACTTATTTGTGTTAACTGTCAGATAAAGTGTGACCTACTAGAGATTTGTAACGATGAGAGCTTTTAAAGAATAACTACTTCTTATACTATTAGAATAGAATAAAATATAATACTCATTTTTCTTCAGAATGAAAATATAATCTCTGTTTTTCTTTCTTTCATAGAAGATCATGTTTTTTGTTATTCTGTTTTCATAAATATATATATCTATATACATGTATAATGTCTAGCATACAAAACATATTTTTTACAATAGAGAATAAGTCATGCGAATGACATTCTTATGAACTATTAATAGAGAATTTGAATAACAAACAAAATAACAAAAAACTATCTAATCATCTGGGTTTCACGACAGTAGACTATACCACACTTACAATATTTTATCATTTAACTTTTAAGCAGTATCATAACATGTGACTATAGATTTAACTAAGTAATATTTTTCATGTAACAACCAGAGAAACGACAGGAAACGGAAAGAATAAATAGGCTGACTAGAAAGTTTTCTCTATTTTGAATAATTATTTGAATATAAGTAAATAAAGAATATTGAACGAACTAATACGAAGAAAAATATTACTTTGATGTAATTATGACCCATATGCATACGAAGATAGACAGCCAGTAAAGACTAAAGTGATCTATCATGTAACTATAGATATAGGGCAGTTTATTACGTGATAACTAAGAGATGAATAAACAATGCGAGATGAAAGATGAAGACAATAAAAAGAAATTCTTCTTATTTTTCTTATTTGTTCTATATTGAATAACAGTATTTATCATACTGTTTAAAAGAAAATCATCCATATTGTCCGTGAACATCATGAAAAAAAAACTAAAGCTTTGTTTTATAATGAAATTAACAAATTTATTAAACCATTTGTTATATAGATTCATTCAATTATACGTTCTTTTACGGTATCTCTATTAATATAGTCTATTTATATATAACTTGAATTGAGTTAACCTTATGAGAGAAATCTCAACACCATTAGAGAATTAAAAAGAAAAAAAAAAAGAAAGAAGAGAATGAATGTAAAATAGAAAATGTAATAAGATATTATCATTCAAAGTTAGCTGAGTCTTTCGAAGCATCTCAAGGAAAAAATAAATAGAAAAAAAAGCCTCTTTTAATAAATATTAGCATACATATAACTTAAATACATAACTTAATGATAATTTTTTAAATGGTATTCCCATGGTTGATTATTACTATTTATTCTTGAATGACGTAAATCGTTATTTATTTCACGAAAAACAGATGAAATTTTTTGATGATTATCATATTGAATTTTATCCAATGATGATCCTAAAAATAAGAAGAAAAGAGACTAAGATACGACTTTAGTATCAAATACATGGAATTAAGTTACATAGTTTTTGTGAAGCTCGATCAAAAAAAGGAGTATTGAAGGATAATGATAGAAATTTGTCCTCCTTCGACTTCACAGGCCTGACAGACACCTTATCAACGTCTCTCTACCATCACAGACATAATTGTGACACCAAATTTCACTGCGATATCAGTATGAGAATTGCCCATTACTTTTCTTTCATACTCACTGCAACATATTTGTGATTAATATCTTTTATCATCGACATGTATTAACAGTAGGCAAGAATTCATTAGCCGAAATATCTATTGATTAATTCCCCTTTTTTACAATACCAACAACTCCATTGTGTTTCACGTTTTTATCCCAGAACGACAACACTAACAAACTTTATAATAGATATCAGTTGTAGACTTTCTTCTAAAATGACTACGACGTTTCCTATTCAACATTCATTAATAAACTAAGAAGAACAGAACAAAGCATCTACTAAATGGGAACTAGAGATATGTTATGGTAATGATGAACAAAAATAAAAAGGATTTCTAGGCAAAATCAGTTAGTTTATAGTTGTACGAAAAATTTTGTTAATTTCAAGTCCATTAACATTTGTGTTGATCTCGAAGATATAGGTCACAATAAAAGAATGGTTACTGTGACATCTATTAAATATAATGCGAATGTGCGTGCCTTAAATACGTCTAATATTAATTATTTAAGTAATGTTAAAAGCGAAGTGATATTTTTATCTTAACAAAATTGAGCCTCGTCAATGAGAATAAGATCTATGAAGTAAAGATTTTTGGTCAACACACAAACAGTAAATATTCAACCAAGGGATCTGTGTACCATACGAGTTTAACATACTATATACGAATACCAATTTATGTGATAGAACAATTCGCTGCTATACATGGTTGAAAATATCATCTGTTTTAATCGAAGTAAAAAAAAAATATTGTTAACAAATTTAAATTGATTTTTATGTTCTATAATGTCTTGTTTTTCATCTACTCATGTTAATAATTAAATAAAAATAGAAAAAAAAGATTTTGTTTGAAGTTTTAGATAAGAAATAAAGATGAGTATTGACGTTCATCTTAAAATGAATTGTTCTTATACTAATGAACTTATTCGTAATGTTCTTGAAGAAGAAAATGGTCTATTTAATCTAATAGATTCATCAACTTCAAATAGTGATAAAATCCTTTATTGGCTTGAATATGAAGATATTGATTTTGATATGCTTTATCGTCTAGCTAAGCAATCACATGATAAAAAAATTTTAGCTAATTCATATTGTATACGTAAAGGTCTTTTACGTAAAGCTAATTTTGCATTATTCGTTCAAAAACATTTAGCAAAAGTAAAACAATAAACTTTTTATTAATATTGCTATTCTTATTTTTCTATGTTCATTAGCAACCAGATTCAATTTTACGTAATCATTATCCTGAAACTCATATACTTGATTTAGGTCATCCTGATTATCTTGATGAAGCACTTAATGAAGCATTTGAATTACGAGATATTTTAGAAGAAAATACAAAAGAAAGTGTTGAACCAATTCTTTTTATTCTTAAAGCATCAATTTTGGATAAAGCAAGTGAATTATTTATTTTCTATACTCAATCACAATTGGAAGAATTTTTTACTAATAAATATGATGAAGACGATGATGATGATGATAGTATAGCTAATGTACGTGAATGGATTGTTCAACGTTATATAAAAAATCCAAAACTTCTTTCAATATATCAAAATCGTAAATTTCATTTACGTGTTTATGTTATTGCTGAAAGAAATCTTCGTATTCATGTATATGATGGTATATTAGCTTTATTTGCATCATTATCATATGATAATGATAAACAATCATTTGATCGTCTTCGTCATATAACAAATACATGTGCACAAGTAGATTCACAATTAAATGAAGATGATTTAGTAAAAGAATTTTTTACATTAGAAAATATTGATAATGATATACGTTCAAATATATTTGAACAAATAAAATTAATTATAAAAGATATTTTTACTGGTCTTCATAATGAAATAACTATATTTCAAGCATTAAAAAATGCTTTTGAAATTTATGGATTTGATTTTCTTATTGATGAAAATAATCAAGTTTATTTTCTTGAAGCAAATGCTTATCCAGATTTTAAACAAACAGGAAATTTATTAAGTATATTAATTAAAGAATTATTTCAAAATCTAGTACAACATATTATTTTACCATATTTTGGTTATGAACAAACAAATAAAATAACTCAACGTAATTTACATCTTGTTTATGATAAACAAAAAACTATTTAAAGAATAATACAAGTTTTATGTTTTGTTTTTGGTTTTATGTTATCTTTTTTTGTTTGATTATCAGTTTTTAATAAAGTTTTCTTTGGAACTGTTTTCGATTTGAAAGATACACTTGATTTTGGTTGAGATGACCCTACAAAATGAAACAAATTAACGATCTATTTTAACTCAGGGAGAGACATGGGAACCGATATAAAATACTAATCTACCTTAAAAATTATTAAATCGATCATGACTGACCTTTGAAAGATGGTGTTGGAGTTTGTTTAATAATGCCACTGGTTTTTTTTGGAACACTACTAATACGTTGTTTTGGACTAGTAATAGGTTGGATGGATTTCGATGGTAAAGTTTTTAGTAAGTCAGACGAAGGTATTTGAATGAATTCTTCTTTATTGGCTGGTGACGATAAATTTTGAGATTTTTTAGAGACCAACGATTGTGATGATGGAACGAAATTCGATGAAGCAGTCTAAATAAACTAATGATCTTAACATAGAATTCATTGATTTTAAAACAAAATGTAAAAATAATTCTTTCCAAACTGATTAATTGCTTCCGAGCTAGAACCATGTGAATTATGCAGATCCTAATGAGTTATGGATATTTCAAAACAAGAAACTTGATTTTCAAATTCGCATAAAAATATATAAGCGATACCCTCGTTAAAGCTTGTTTCTATGCAAATTCGAAAGCCAGTTTTCCTCATTATATTGAGAAGTACCGTTGAAATGCAATATATCGGCAGTGATGGGTCCGGCCTCTTTTCGAGGTGCTCATAATCCATTAGAATCTACCTGACGCATATAGTTCCAGCTTAAAGGCGAGTAATCAGTTAGAGGATTCTCCTCGTGAGTTATTTTTTCTTTCAAAACTGTTCTAAAAATACCCGAACTAATTATATAAATGTAAAGAAGAGAACTCGAATTCCATTTTAGTAACTAGATTCTTTTTTTGAAAACAAATAGTTTATAATCTAATATGTCTATTGCATGACAAACGACACACAATATTCATGTAAACAATTTATCCTTCTTCTAATATAAGTAATTTTTCTTTCAAAATATCACATTTGGAAGAGTATCAGATATTTGAAGTGTTTCAGAAAGTAATCTCTCAAAAATTGGAAACATCTGTCATCAAATTTTCAACTATCAGCCACGTTATGCAGTGTTCGACACTTTTTCGGCTGTGATATTTTGAAAGAAAAATGATAAAGAGTTTACACGAATATTGTATGTTGTTTGTTATAAAATAGGCATTTTACATCATTTACTATTTGCTTTAAAAGAATAGAGCTTGTGCTCTACTCTTTGTATTTATATACTGTGACTTTCAAAAATTTTCTATCAGACTTATTTTTAATATTTTTCGTTGTTCTTAGTGTTAAAAATAATCCAAATAATGATTTTAGTAGAGAATTTTGTTTTTAACAAGAATTTTAGAATATGAAAATTATTCTTAGTTTTTCAATAATAGAATTTCTGAAAAACTCAAAACCCAAGTTTTTCATTTCGTGAAATTCTGTTTGATTTACGCAGTATGATAGAGTCAACAGTTGTCTACAACATAAAACGAAGGTGCAAAAGTCATTGTTTCTGTTATTTCGTGTGGAAACACCATTTTGTGCCTTCCATATAGTTGATATATGTTAGTGAAAAAATATCATAAAGAGCTGGCAGGTGTTTCATTTTGTAGAAACTTATCTGTTCTATCATTCTGGATAATTCAAATAGAATTCCAGAAGATGAAAACTTTGATTTGGGGTCAAATCACTATTTGGATTCTTCTTAGCGTTTATAGCAGCGAAAAAGCATAAAAAATAAACCTGACAAAGTAATTTTGGGAGTCAATGTAAGTTCAGTCTTGTTTAGAATAATTCTGGGCAAAAAAAATAATTTTAAAAGATCGTCCAACAAAAATTGACTAGTCTACTTTTTTATACCTCCAATTTCACTATGATTTAACATTTGGAAGTCAATTTTTTTTCGACATTGTATCGACACTGACTGTACTTTTAAAGGAAGGTTATACTAAAAATGAATTCATCTAAAAAGCTTTGTTCATTAGTATATGTAAGTAGTTCAAATAGCATAAATGATCTTTATGATTTGTTTGTTAACCGTTAAAAGTCATCTCGATAGTTAATTTGCTTACAATATTGTACAACATATGACGATTTGAAATCTAACAAGTACTTATATACAGTGAAAATAGAGTCATATACACAGTCGGAATGATCGTGAAGAATATTTTTTTTTGTGTGAATTTGGGAGTTACATTAGTAAAATAGTGAAATATTTTTGCTCTTATATATAAGTAGCACAAAAATAAATACACTGTAGCTCAAAGAAGTTATCATACAGACTTAATTTCGATGTTTTTTTTTCTGTCGATCAACACAGGAGTGACATTTCTAAATTGTTCCATTCGAGTGCGGTAAGACTTTTCCTGAGACTCACGATTTCAGTCAATAAATCTATGATTGTTTAGAACAGTGTTAGGCTAGTGAAAATCTAAAAAAATATCAGCATTCGAGTCAGCATAAGGAATTACTTTTGTCTAGCTGCTTTTTAAAGTGGTCACAAGACAATTGGCTGAAATCAGAAGTCTTAGGAAAAGTCTTATGAATCTCGCACGGAACAACTTAGAAATGTTGGTCTTGTATAGATCGAAAGAGAAATAGTTTCAAAACATCGTTTGCAAAAATTTTCATCAAGAACTCATCTGATTGGTCAATTGCTGACCAATCCAATTTCGATGTACCTCGATAGCCCTAGGTCTTCTTCCTTGAATGGTGAAAACCGAAGATCTCTATGATATTTCTATCAAAAGTTATTCAAAAAATAGTGGAACATATTATATTCCGCAATGAATAGTAACTCAAGTAAAACATAAAAACTTTAAAAGAAAAGTTAAACATGTTTGATAAATCTTCGACATACTTCTGATATAATTGAAGGTGAAGTTTGACTTTCTTCTAATCTAATTATTTTTCTTGGTCTATTTGTAGTTTGTGTACGCTGTGTTTCTCTAGTTTGTAATGATGCATATTGAGCAATTTTCTCACGTTTGTAAACTTTATTACGATATTCGACAAAATTTGATAATGCTTTACAATGATTTAATTTTCGATAATGAATATAAGATTCAAGAGAATCACCAATGACAGTATAAGCATGCTAAACGAAAATAATTCTTATTGAATTTAATAAAATAATAAATCTTACACCTCAAGATCAAAATTTTCAGTATTATTATTAATTGTTAACCAACAATTTTTACCAGGTCGATCATATGTTCGTTCAAAAACTTTACTAGAAAAACCAAATATTCTCCTGTCCATTTCATACCTGTATAATTACATATCAGTTGTTTGTGCAGGATCATTTGTTTGTTGAACTTGTTCATTATTTATTTTTGTTTGACTTATCATTTTTGTTGTAAAATCTGCTGATTGATTTTCATCATAAAAATTTTGTTGATGATGAGAATTGTATCTTGGTAATAATAAACATGTTAATTGCGGATGAGATACTGTTTGAGATATAAGAAAATTATTATCGATTCTCTTTTTATTTACTGAATCATAATAAATAATATTTTCAGATGATAATGACTTATATCGATAGATTGAATTTGATTGAGGTATTTGTTCTAAATGTGTTTCATTGAGAATCGCTTGGCAATCAAATCGTGGTAACATAAGTAATGGTTCAATACTTTTCTCATGACTAGTTTTCATTGAATCGAATAATAAAAAACAAAACGAATTCAATAATAATATGTAACTAAGATATAGTCTTATAGAAAATATTAATAAAATAAGAAGAGAAAAAAAATGTAAATTTTTGGAAGAAAATATCTTCTATTTGATAAGATTAAAAATAAAAAGTCAAACAATTGTTTTATATTTTTCTGGACAAATTGATCACATTCGACAAAATATCAATAAATTTGTTATTAAACTTAAAATTAGAACAAATTCATCAATATCGAAAATCAGTTTTATTTCTAAATAAAAATTCTTTTCAGAAAAAAAGAAAAACTTATGAATTCAATTATTTTCAAATCAGATAGAGTTTATAGTTTTTAATCTGAAACAATAAATCTTAACATAACAACTCTTACTATACAAAATTGTCATTATCAAGACTTGCAAGACGATGAATGGACATAGCTTTTAACTAAAAGAATTCGATCATTTCGTATAATCTACACTTAGTGTAACTAAGAATGTATACAATTGAATTGAATTCAAGATTATACATATATTTATGCCGTTTTTTCCGTCATCATCAAAACGAAAATAATAATAATAATAATAATAATAATGAACAACAAAACAACAACAAGCAAAGGATCGAAAAAAGAACCATGGCGAACTGAATATTAAGAGAAATACTAATATTTGGAAATATATCTTATCCAAAGACGAAAAGAAAAAACGAAAGAATTCACATATTATAATAGGACACAGGAAGGAAAAAAAAAGAAAAATCACAATATGCAACAAAATTTAATAGTAAGTCTCTATCAGCAGTATATTGGAAAAGTTGATCACAGATGAAAATTCCTATGAAATAAGTTTATTTTTCTGTTGTTTCGGTTTTAATTGCTACTGCTGTTGTTGTTTTATCATCATTAGGTGTTTGTATACGACATATGCGTTTTACTTTTGCTCGATGATTTTTAAACCATAAACGTATATGTTTTGTTTCAAGTTTAGGAAATTTTGTTCGATATTCACCTTCATTTAATTCGGAACAAATACGTTCAATTAATAAATGATCAGGATGTGTTTCAATAGCAAACCATTGTTCTAATTTAGGTACTTCAGTTGTTGGATCAATAAATATTCTATTACGTCTTGAACGATTATAATCAAATGTTGTTAATTTTGTTGAATTTAATGATGTTTGTGTTGATGGTGATTGTTCATTACTTATTAAACTTCCATTATCATCATCATTACTTTCATCTGAATGTGTTAATTTTTGTTTTTGTTGATCTGTTAATGATATATCAAATGCTTGTAAATAATTAAAATAATAATTATTATGATGATTTTGTTGTTTTTGATTATTATCATCTGTATCATCCATTGTATCATCAACATCATCATCATCAATTTCATCTGATGAATCAAGTTCACATTTTGTTGTATATTCTTGTATAGTTGCTATTTCTGATGGAATAAAACGACGTTTTTTACGTTTAAGTGCAGCACGAGCATTTTTAAACCAATATTGAATATTATATGGTTCAAGAGCTTTTTTACCTATATTTAAAAAAATAGTAAAAAAAAAAAGTTTTTGATAATTAAAAAAAAATCTAAAATAAAACCTTTTCGACATGGTAAAGCATTGAGAGTTTCACATATTGATGCTATTTGATAACGTGTAGGATGTTTTGTATCAGTAAATATTTGTAATAATCGTGGTGTCTCTTCGTGTGGATCAAATGTAGTACGTTCACGTTGACGTCGATTTGTTGATGGTGAATCATATTGTTGTTGAGTTAATGATAAAAGACTAGCAAATGTATTTGGATAATGTATATTTGATTTTAATGATGATGAACATGGTTTTTTTGAAAGATTTAATGGAGTATTATCACTAGAAAATATTTTTCGAATTAAATTAAATATTTGAAGATTTTTTTTATTTTATTTTATACCCGTCAGTAGTATTTGAATTTGATGAATAACCATTTGGACTATGTTGATCATCATATTCACAATCATTTTTATCTCTATCATCACTAATTAAAGATACTGATTGTCTAAATAAATGATTTGATCGTTTATCTTGCGATGAATTTGAATATCTGTTTATATTAAATTTTTTTTTTTGGATGTTTATTTAATTTTTGATTTTCTTACTTTGAAGATATACGTATTTGTAATATAGCAATATTCATAAGATCACCCAGGATATCTTGAACAGAAACTGTACGATCGTCAGTAACTTTATCAATTGATAATGGATTCCAATTTTTAATTAAAATTTCGCCTGTAAGAAAAACAATAATAGATTTTATAAGTTCTGCTTTTTTTTTTTCTTACCATCGATTCTTTCATCTTGTTCTATTTTACCAACATCAGCTTCCATACTACGTAAAACAACGGGAACAATATCATGGAATTTTGTATGTGCTGGAATGATTACAAAACCATCTTGTAAAACACGTTGTGGACACTCATCACGTGTGACCACACAGTGTACTGGTAAAAATTTATTATTTAACGCCAGACCTAAAAGAGAAAAAAAAAGAATAATAAAATTTCACACATTTTGTTTGATTTGAAAAAAAATAAGTGGTGTTAGAAGTGTCTTGATGATTGAACACATTTTATTTCCCTTAAGCAATGTATTACCTGAAGATAATTTGTCTAAATGACGTGAACCCATTTTTTTTATTACACACACAAAAAAAAAAAGAAAAATTTGCTTAAAATCAAACGAATAGTTCGTTAGAAGTTTCTTCTTCTTTTTTTTTTCAATTAACAAATCCTTTTACTGTTTCTTGCTCTTCGTACTTCAACTCAGAACAAGAAGAAAAGAAGATATGATACCCGAAAATGATCAGGGGGAGACGTCTTTCTTTTTCTCTTTCATTTTTTTTTCTCGTACTACAACCAATCAATTGACAACGAACATATCGGAGTTTTGTAAATCATACCGTTTCTTTTCTCAACATCATTTTTATTAGTCAATATTTCGTAACACTCAAGCCGCACTGAACCGAAACAACCAACCAGCAAAAGCGATAAAGAGAGTGGGCAAAAAAAAAAAGAACCTTGTCAATGAATCAATAAGGACATATTACTGTGTATCGTCTTCTATGTTGATAATTTTCACCAATTGCTTTTTTTTTGCATTATATTTATTAGTGATTATTGCAATAAAACAAGATATCAATCATGTCCTATGTTCGTGTTCTTTTTTTTTCTCTTCATTTTTGCTGAATAATTTGTTTTATCTTGATTTCCTCGCTCTCGTTTTATTGCACAACGTTAGCCAAGCGTAACCATCTTAGTATGTATATGTATGAGCTAACATCCAATCATACGAATGCGTTAGAGAAAGAGAGAGAAGACGCTGTAAAGCAAATTGACAAATGTCATAAAGTCTATGTTCTTTGATTTTTTTAAAATCGTATATTTTTAACGACGTATTGATCTGTCAACATATACTTGTGCGTCTTAAATCAACAGAGCAGGCGCGTCTCCATAGTATGGGTGCGATTGCTTTACTCAACAGTCTCGTTAGTGAGATAAGTAATACCCTATTCAATTTCACTAGTCGTTTCGCCTCATCCACTGTGATGAGTAACAACTGTTGTTTAGTGATAATAGCTTCTCTATCGTTATATCAACACCCAATAAAACTTTGATGCGAAATAACAGAATGAAACGCAATTATTTATATATATGTATATATACACTCACTTGCTGAGTTGAACAGGCCAAGTGACATTTTGATAGTTGAGAAAGAATGAGGTTAAGCTTTATTTTACGTTTTTTTTAAGTGTTAATCACATTGGCAAACCAAATACATACATAGCAATAGCAACCATGATTTCGAAATGAAGATGAAGCCGGCTGATGCCATTCTTTCTCTCTATCGTCTAGAGTCTTGAATAAAAAGAAGAGAGAGAGAGAGAGAGAGAGAGGGGGAGAAAGAGAAGAGAAGAGCATTTTAACTTAAGTTGACATACGGATGCATTATTTCTCACTTTTTTTTAAAGAGAAAAAGAAAGTGAGTCGGAGTTATAAAATGCAATCGAGGGAAAGAGGAAAATTGAACGTTTCAACCTAATGCTCGACGATTATCCCAACAACAACAACATTATCGTATATAACTGTCGTTGGGAATGAGAAGAGGGACGGAAATGTGCTTGAAAAAACTTTGATAAAGTGGTAATGGTAAGAAAAAAGTGAACGCAAAACGTTTGAAGGATTTTCTCATTGTTTTTTCTTTCATTTTAGTCTGCAATTAGAGATAATAACTAACGCATACTCATTTATGTGTTCTTCAGTCGGAAGACATTTAAAAAAATGAATTTTCATTTCGAAGACACTTATGAATAAAGCACAATAATAGAAATAAGAACTAATTCAAGGTAGTCGTAGCTATAAAATCCTAGTGCGTGTTAATCATAGTGTGAAAAGTCGATGACGGAAATACATGGCAAGAAAAAAGGTGAGAAATTTCTGCTTATATGAGCACTTTAGTAATATACTACAACTTTGAAAGATTAAAAACATGCAAAATCTTAACTTTAAAAAAAAATGAACATTAGAAAAAAAATGAAAATGACAGACTTAACTCTTTCTTAGTTCCTTTTCTTTTTATTCTCACTATCTAAATTATTCAAAATGTCGTGCACACATACACATACGCTTTCTAGCTGACAAACGTTCTTTACTATTCTTCGATTTTGTATGCAAGCCAGTAGCGAACAAGGATTACCTGCGAAAGTTTTATGACAGCTACTTGACCGAAAAAAAACAGCTAAACGAAACGAATGGTACCACCAACACCAATTCACTAAGCTTGTAAATATTATAATCGACAACGATAAAAAAAAGAGAGAGAGAGACAGAGGTGGTGATTAACCTTCTCTACTCACTTGCGCATTTGCTATTGCCGTGGATGGATGGATTAGTCAATGCAGAGGCAGTAGAAGAGACGATAACGATACTTCGATTTTCATTCATATGAGGAATGAAAGAGAAAA